TTGGAGGTTACCAATAGACAGTTCACATACATGCCAACAGCTTCCAGTGTTTCTCTGCCTGGCTGTGATGGTTTGCTTGGCCCTTTCTTAGAGCAGACAGGAAGTCAGCGTCTCCAGGAGAGGCCTTCAGTGAGGAAAGGGATTCAACAGGTAATATCCCAGCATCCTTGCCCCAGTGGAAAAATCCTAGGGTATGCCCTAGACAGTTTCTCAAGAAGTCCCAGCTGGACTGAGTCTCCAGTGCACTCAGTAGTAACTTGCTTATCAATATTCATTTCATTGTCTTTGGCTTTTTTTTTTTTTCTTTTCCTTGTCTCACTTTCCTTCTCCCTTATTGCTAAAATCACTTCCAAATGATGCATTCTCAGATTGTGGTCTTAGGGCCTGCTTTTGGGGAAATCCAAACAAAGACAAGCATCAAACCCAGTGCCTGGTTCCTTAAAAGGGACCCAACCAGCACCATACAGGGTTCCTCCTAAGAACCACAGCCCAGAAATTATTTGAGTGGTTATTTTCTCAATCCTCCCAACAGAAGTGCATAATTTATATCATGCTAGATGCATGCAAGAGACACTCATTCATGAGGAATGCCTTAGGGTGTTTGGGCTCCATTCTCTTGTTCAAACTCCATCTGTAAGCAAGTATGATAACGGCACCTACTCCATAGGGCTACTGCGTAAAACTCTTAGAACAGTGCCTGGTTCTAAGTTTTCAGCAAAGGTTAGCTGTTGGCATCACCCCCAAGGGTTGGTTGGTAGAGAATACACACTGTCCTCCAGTATCCCAGCTTCCTTTTGCAACCAGCACCTGTAGCTGCCCAGTCTCCCCAAAAACTAGGTGTGTCCATGTGCCCAAGTCCTAGCCAATGGGTTGTGAGAAGTGATACAGGCAAAGTCTGCATCAGAAACTTACAAAGAAGCTGCTTGGCCTCCATCTACCCTTTGCCCACTTTGAGACAGTTGAGAAATAATGGCAACTGGAACAGCTGCCTTGATATCAAAATATATGTTGAGGATAACAGAGCCATCCTATAAATCCTAAGTGTTCACTTGGGGGCCATTGTGGGAGGGATAAATAAGACCCCATCTTATTTCATAGTATTTTAGAGTTTTTCCTTCCAGTCACTTCTCCTCACTTAACCGATCCAGCCCAAAGACAAATATGGGGTCAACAGATGTGAGATTTTGTCTTCTTTCTCTTATCCATTGTGTTGACCACGTGTCCAGCACTGTGCCAGAAACTAAAATCAAAAGATGAGCAGGATGCAGACCAAATCCCAAGGAGCTCAATGTGTAATGAGATAGAAGGATTGAGAGGCAAAAAACGCCAGCCTTCTGTGATAAATGCTCACACAAGTGTTGTGGAGGCAGAGAGGAGGGAGCAATTAGCTCAGGTCCTAAAAAGGATGGAAGCATTTGCCAGGCTATAGGGGAGGGAGTGGGATGGTGATGGGAGGCATTCCAGGGAGTGGTAACAGCACGCGAGAAATCATGAGAGATGGGGGTGATGCAGGGAAACATGGACATCTGAACAAAACGAGCTCTAGGTCCGACTTTACCATTCACTGGCCTTATAACACCCTGCAGGCTCATGCTAGTATCCTGGGTCAGTTTCCATATCTGCAAAGTAGAATTAAAAAGTCCTGCTCTAACTTAGGCTTAGGGGTACTGTAAGAGCTCAATGATGGAATGTTTAGAAGAGCTTATAAAGAATGGTGCAAATGCTAATCACTGGCATCATCACTTGTAAAGCTTAGTTTGGGACATTTTTGCATGTTGGTTACACTCAGCTTCAGGGAGGCAAATAGGCTCTGGGAGAGGAACTAGTGCTCCAAGGAAGGTGGCAGGAGCTCTGAAACTTCCCAGGAGAAAAACCCACTTAGCTTGGAGAGTGGTTCAGCTTTCTTCATGGCTTTTGGGCAATGCACATCAAGTGTCCTAAAATGTCCATTTTCTTTGACCAAGAAGTTCACCCTCTGTTACATGAAATGATACAAAAGAATTGCAAATGTTGCAGAGGTTCGTGCACAAGGTTGCATGCTGCAAACCTCTGCACCACGTTCAGGATGACCTACATCTGAAGGGCCTGAGGTCCTTAGGCTTTCAGTGTGTTAAGCTGAAGTTTTCCACTGGGAACCGTCCTTCACCAATGGAGCAGCCTAAACAGAGACTATAGAACATACACTTTGTTTATTTTTGGCATTATTTGATTATTTTAAATGACTGAGTAACATTCCATTATGTAAACATACCACATCTTCTTTATCCATTCGTCTGTCAGTGGACGTTTATTTCCATGTCTCGGCTATTTTAAATAGTGCTGCTATGAACACAAGGATATATGTATCTTTTCAAATTACATAATTTTGCCTGGGTATATGCCTAGGAGTTGGGATGCTGGATCATATGGTAATGCTATGTTTTAGTTTTTTGAAGAACTCTCCATAGTGGCTGCACCAATTTACATTCCCACCAGCAGTCATAGATCAAAAGTTTGTTAAAATTGATTTTTATTGGAGTATAGTTGCTTTACAACGTTGCATTAGTTTCTGCTGCACACCAAAGTGAATCAGTCATACATATGCACATACCGCCTTTTTTTTAGTTTTCCCTCCCATTTAGGTGACCATAGAGCACTGAGCAGAAGTCCCTGTGCTATACAGTAGGTTCTTATAGGCCATCTATTTTATACACAGTAGTGTATAGAACCCTGGAGAAGGCGATGGCAACCCACTCCAGTATTCTTGCCTGGAGAATTCCATAGACAGAGGAGCCTGGTAGGCTACAGTCAATGGGATCGCAAAAAGGTGGACACAATTGAGTGACTAACACTTACTTATTTAGTGTATAGAACATATACTTTAAAATGATCAATACTGTCTGGGTCATGGGAGCACGGGTGATGTTCTGTATTTCTGTGCATTTCCAAGTTTTTGAGACAGACTCCATGTTACTGTTCAGCTCTAGTTTCCAGACCGTTCCCCCTCTGTCTCCCTCCGATTCCTCCCTCTGGGCATTTGGACTTTCGGTCCTTCTACCTGGAGGCCTCTGCCCCTGGAACACACCACCCCTCCCCCACCAACTTCAGGGCTTTGCTGAAATGTCACTTCTTTGGTGAGGCCTCCTTAGATCCACCTGATTTAAAATATAAGCCAACTCCTCCCCCAGCTTACAGTCCCTCCTTCCCTGCTTCATTTTTGTCCACAGCATTTGTTCTCACCTGACATACTTCGCATACCTACAACAGCTGAGTGCTGCTCTAAGGTGTTCTAAGCACGTGTGTGCTGTTCTCTCTGTGTGTGCTCAGTCTTTGCAACCCCACGGACTGTAGCTCACCAGGCTCTAAGTGTGTAGTAGGTGGCTAACAAGTAGTAGTTAAATGGATGACTAAATGCATGAACAGGACCATTTCAGTTTCTTCTGGCTTCTGCCAGGTTCTCCTTTGGGGTAGGAGTGGGCACAGGCGTGGGGCAGGTAGTGGGAAGTAGCAGCAGCAGATGGGAGGGGAGGGTTACAGGAAGAAGGTGGGGCTCTTAAATGATGCCACACCGAAGGCCAGATACCAGCTTCTCTATGTTGGGGGGCCACGTGGCAAAGGGCTCTCAATGTGGCCCCCAGGTTGAGAGCAATATTTGTGACCAGAACATAAGGGACCCAGGGCAGAGAGAAATAAACCAGGAAACCAGCCTTACACACAAAGACCCAGGTTTTGAGAATACTCAAGAGAAGGTAGAGGCTTCCCCAGTGGCTCAGTGGTAAAGCATCTGCCTGCAATGCAAGGAGACACAGGAGACTCGGGTTCAGTCCCTGGGTCGGGAAGATCCCCTGGAGGAGGAAACGGCAACCCACTCCAGTATCCTTGCCTGAAGAATCTCATAGACAGAGGAACCTGGTGGGCTGTAGTCCATGGGGTCACAAAGAGTCGGGCATGACTGAGCATGGACACATACGTACATACAAGAGAAGGTAGGAGCTATTCTCAAACACACACATGGGTAACCAGCCACAAGAAGGTGACCCTAAGAAGTTGCACTAGGTCTCCTGACCTAGGGCTCCTATTTTGGTTTGGGGTCAAGAATTGTTCCCTTCTCCTCCCTTGCCACCCTCCATGAGTGCTGTCCAACAATGGCCAGAGTCCAGGCTTCACTTGTTCATGGGTTGAACTTTTAATCAGTGCATTCAACAGTTATCAATTAAGTGGATTTACTCTGTGTCAAGGGTCCTGCTTGGGACTTTGAAAGCAATGAAGACTAAACATTATTCTAATAAATAAATACATATACAACTAGAAACTGTGAAAGCACAAAACTGGGTTGCCAGAGAGAGATCTAATTCAGACAAGGGGTCAGGGACCTCTAGGGGACCTCTAGATTTTTGAGGGAGCCCAGAATGGTGAGCATGCCTCCAGCCAGTGAGATGAAGGAAGGCCCCCTCCAAAGTCCCTCAGAAGTAAGGAGTGACGTGTTAGAATTGGCGGGGACCTCAGCGCACTTTGGAGGAACAGGAAGTCCGGAGACTGGCAGTGACTTGCCCACAGACACAGAGCAGGTCGGTGGAGCCGTCGAGAGTTGGACGATCAGCTGAGTGTGCCACCTCCTGAAGTCAGATGTCCGCCTGGCTGCCTCACCCAAGAACTGTGTGCTATGGGGGCCACCCGCAACAGGGACGGGGTAGGAGGTGAAGCTGGGGGGGCGGGGCGAGCTGCTGCCAGACCCCCGGAGGGATGGGGAAAGGGGTAGGGGCGGGTCCGATGACGTCATTTCCGGGGTCCGGGGTATATAAGCGGGGCGCGAGCATGCCCCACTGCTGCAGTGCCCGAGCCCAGTGCGGAAGACTGTTCGACAGACAGACGCACACGGACACCTTGCGCCACCATCCACCCCCCCATCCCGCGCCAGTGTCGCCGCAGCCCGTCCGGAGCGAGCAGTCCAGCAGTCCTTCGCCCGAGCGCGCTCCGTGGCCGGCTCCAGACCGCCAGCTGCTCGGCGCCCCGGCTTCGCCATGCGCTCCGCCGCGGTCCTGGCGCTTCTTCTCTGCGCGGGGCAAGGTGAGCGAGCGCGGGCCCTTGCGGGAGGGGTTCCTGGACGCCCCTGACTGCCCTGAGGTCCAGGCACCGCGCAGCGCCGCGTGCCCCTCCATGCCTTCCCTCCGGCGCGGCGAGTTTTCAGCGCCACGGACAGCGCCCCGCCTCCCACCTGACCCCGCAGAGTGGCCTCGGCGCAAAACCCGCAGACCTGACTCTTTGACTCTGACTCCCGACCCCGCGGGACAGGGCTCCCTGTCGCCCCCACCCCACGTCTGGGCTGCTTCGGGGCCAGCGCCGGCTCTGCGCTGTGGCTGGCCAAGGTCATTTGGGGAGATGGGAGGACCGCTGTTGGCTCCCCTGTTCTCCCTTCTTCCTCCTGCTTCCCACCGTCTGTCTGCCCTTGACTTCTACCTCTCCCAATCCTCCTCCTCCATCTCTTCCGCTCACCTCACCTTCTTTTCCATCACCTCTGGGGTCTCTCTGCCTCTCCCTCATCCTCCCCCCACCTCAGTCCCACCCAGCCACTGGCCTGTTTTCGTAACTCTTGGCTTCTGCTCCCACACCCCCTCCAGAGCATAGCTTTCCCAAAGGGAAGGATTAAGGCTCTCAGTGCAGCCTGTGGGAGCCACCCCCATGAGGGTAGCAGTTGGGAAGGGAAATAAAACCAGCTCCACATCTCATTCGAGTGGGGGTGGTGTTAGGGAGGAGCGTTGGGGTGAACGGGCCCCTAATGGACCCGGTCTGGAAGGACTGGGTTCTCCCCTCAGAGCAGAGGAGTGACCCCCGCTCTATTTTTCTTCCTAGTCATTGCCCTGCCTGTGAACAGCCCCATGAATAAAGGGGACACTGAGGTAAGAAGGGGCATGGGTTTGCCCTGGGATGGGGGGGAAGAAGACCCCAGTGGACCCCTCAAAGCCAGATCTTGGGCAGCTGCAGGAGTCTGGCATCAAGCCAGGAGCCAGCACTGCGGCTGCTGAGCCTGGGGACAGCTTGCAAAAGAAGATGTCAAAGTCTGCTAGATTTCCCTGCTTGCCTGCTGCGGGGCCTTCCCTGGCCTCCTTTGAGCTGGGTGTGCAACCCAGCAGGACCTGTGTCTTACCCACTGGGCCCAGGGGCCAGGCCCACTGTCTTGAACACTCCAAATCTTGTAGGCCCGCCATGGGCTGGTGGGGGTGACTTCTCTGAGGTTGTGGTTGTCCACTGTCCTGTGAGAACAGTCTTCATCTGCCTGGCTCCGGCCTCCCCATTTGCTCTTCCCCAAGGCTCTGCCAGCAATACACCCACCCTATCCCACAGTTCCCTAAAGCCCTGGCTCTCTCAAAGGACCACAACAAAAACATTCTTGATCATGGCTCCTGCACCCAGGCCAGTTGGGGATTCTGGTGGAGGTCACCCAGGAAAGGACTTGGAAGACATTGATGGGGGCTTCTGTGGCCAGCAAGAGACACTCTGTGTTGGGCATATTCCCAAAATTGATTCACGTCTGAGTTGGGACTGTTTTTCCAGCTTCTGATGTTCACAGATATCTCCACTTGTGAATTAGAGAAATTCTACTCTCTGCCTTTTCAGGAACTGTTTTCTTTAGAGAGGCTATAGTTGAAATCCAAAGCATCAAAGAGATTTCAACCTCAATGTGCTCATTTAAAATTTCCTATTCACTAGTTACAGACAGGCCTAAATTGAAAAAACCGCTGCCACTCTTTGTAGCTGTGTCATCTTAGGAAAAATCCCTTGAATTCTCTGAGCTTTCCCTTTTCTCACTATAATGATATTTCCTTTGAGGGAAGTTGTAAGGAATGAAAAAAAAAAGTAGCTCACTCATGTCTGACTCTTAGCAACCCCATGGACTATACAGTCCATGGAATTCTCCAGGCCAGAATACTGGAGTGGGTAGCCTTTCCCTTCTCCAGGGGATCTTTCCAATCCAGGGATTGAACCCAGGTCTCCCGCTTTGCAGGCAGATTCTTTACCAGCTGAGCCACCAGGGAAGCCCTGGTAAGGAATAGGACTCCTGCGAATTGCTGACACATAGTTGGTCCTCAGCAAATAAGTGTTTTTATTCATAGCCTAGAGCTTCCTTTCCTGACCTCCCCATCATTCTTGGGACCTATACCCAATTTGTCTCCCCCAGAATCTGTCCTCATGGACTGGTGGTTATCTGATATTCCCAGTGCAAGGTCTGTGGTTGCAGGAAGGGTGCAGGCTATAAGCCATTCCTTGCCAGATTCCTTATGGGAGACACTTTGGCCATCATATTTCAGCTGCCTGGGTCAGAGACACCAGAGCAGCTGGTGAAGACCTGCATGTTCTATCTAGGATGCCATGACTACTGTAGAGCCTGTCTGCCAGTTTGCTATCCTGGATCCTTGAACGGGTTGCCTTGGCATCCCATAGACACAGCCTTCCACCCCCTCACTCCTCACTGTGTTGCCTGATGCTTGTCTGACACTTCCTGCTCCTCTGCCCAGCTCTAGGCAGCTGAAGCAGGCTGGAAATTGCGAATCCCTCCCTGACTGTGTCTGGCACTCCATGCGTTAGAGTATTCCCCCATCTGTGCCCCATCACCCTGGGAGGGGAGTCAGAAGGTCTTATCACTCACATTTTACAGAGGTGGAAATTGAGGCTCAGTGAGGTCAAGTCGCTTGCCCAAGATCACACAGCTAGGATGCCACACTACAGTTGGCACCATCTTCAAATATCATCCGTTTATCAGCTGTCTGATTATCCATAGCACCTTGCTGGCCACTGGACAAGACTTTCAGAGAAATGGCTGCTGTTGGCCTGGGATGGGCATCCGGATATAGTAGATGTATGCCCACATCCAGCCAGGGAATTCACCCGGTGGGTGAATATGGAGCCAGGCTGTGAGGCTGTCACTCCCTGCATGTGAGAACCCCATAGATATTTAGAGACAGTTTTCCGAGTCTTGTTTCCAGGCAGGAAAGAGCCAGGAAAGGTCTTTGTTCTCCTCTGGGTGGTCCAGAAAGGCTTCCTGGAGATAGCTGACCTTTGGGGCATCTGCAAGACTAAAGTACTTTTGCAGGGCTACACCTCTAATGCCCAGGAGCAGCTTCCCCATCTGTAGAGAAACACTTGGGATGAGAGGGTGCAGGGTACCCACCCCCACTTTAGAGGGGCTCTCGCTGGCCAGGTAGTTGGAGTGCCTGGCACTTGGTAAGCACTGTGTGTGGATTTTTAGTATTACTGCTATTATTGTCTGGCTTAGAAAGCACAGCTGTGCCCCTGAGCTAGATATCCATGGACTCCTGAAGACAAAAGTGAGCGTCATTATGTCCTCCTTAGAAATTTGCCTTGGAAGTGCCAGGGGCTGAGCTCCATGCCCAGACCAGCCCCAACTGGCCTCATTCTGTTCCCAGGTGATGAAGTGCATCGTCGAGGTCATTTCTGACACGCTGTCCAAGCCCAGTCCCATGCCGGTCAGCAAGGAGTGTTTTGAAACACTCCGAGGAGGTACGGGCCAGGCTCGGGGTGAGGGGCTGCTGCCTGCAGGGCTGGGAGGCAAGGACATGAGTGTGTGGTTTTTGCTGGAAATCAACAATTTAATTAAGTAGTCACTGACCATGTGCCTACCTTAGCCAGGTCTGTGCTGAGGTCTGAGTGGTACAGAGAGATGAAGAGCTAACAGCCCATGTGTGCCTGGAGCTTAGTCTAGCAGAGGGGAGTGATATGAACACAGTTAACTAGAATTCTGGGCAGAATGAAACCAGGGCTGGGAACAGCAAGCCTGCAGAATGTGAGCTCCCTGTGGATGAAGATTTTGTGTGCTAAATCCCCAGGGTTGAGGACAACCACTGGCATCTGGGTAGCCTGTAGATATGTGATAAATAAAGGAACACCAAGGGCGGGTGAGCATGATAATAGCAAAGCTTTTGCAAGGAGGCAGTCAGTGTTGGCTGGATCCAACATTAGCATTAGGATTGGGATTTAAGCAAAATGAAAAAGAGGGTACTCCAGGTGAAGTAGACAGCACTAGCAAAGGCACAGAGATGCAAAAACAGCTTGTGTTTAGAGACATTGCTGTATCACCGCAGGGGATGCCATCTCTTGGCAGAAGTCTGGGTACAGGGACAGTGGCTGACCTTCCTGATACGATAGCAAACTTGGAAAGGAAGTCATTTCAGAAGTGTTATCTCCAGACCCAATCTTGCTGCTACCACCAGGGTTTTGAATTTCCAGAATAAATTCCTTGTGCTCAGCTGAAAATGTTGATGGCAATCTCTTTCTTGGCTGTCTTCTGGAAACCACCCGTAACGACTCCCCTTCATTGCAGATGAGCGGATCCTCTCAATCCTGCGACATCAGAATTTGCTGAAAGAGCTCCAAGACCTCGCTCTCCAAGGTATTTTCCAACCACTGCACGTGAATCTGGGTGAATTCCAGTACCTAAGAGTCAGAAAAATCATGGTGGAAGGTTGAGTGAGGTCTTCTTTCTGATCCTCACTTAGCACCTTTTTGTATAGGGTGGTAAGGTGGGGTCCTCTGTGCCACTTGGCCCAATCTATCATTCATACACTTAAAGAGATCAAGGCCCAGAGAGGTTGAGTAGCCTGTCCAAGATCACACAATAAGTTAAGGACATCCCAAGACCAGGTGCAGCTCTTCTAAAACCCTGTGGTCTCTGGAGTTCAGCCATGTTAGAGGGGACACTTTCAAGACTAGGTTACAGAGAGGACTTCTTTTCTCTGTTTAATGGGAAAGAAATTGGTCTCCAGGAGAGAGCAGGGGCCCCTTTGCCCTTGTGAGCTTCTGCTCAAAGCAGAGATGGGAGAAGCAGGATCTTGCTTACCCCAAAACACAGCCAATGTGCTTTCAGAGTGAGGTGTGTCTTTCTCCAAGAGGTTAACAAAAATCTACTGATGCTGTTGGGAATGGAGTGATTTTGTGAGGTAGTGAGCTCCTTGTCACTTAAGATATTCAAGCAGAGCCCAGATAAGATACTGGGAATGGAGGGTTAGGCTGATGTCATCCCACGGAGTTAGCTACTCTGCCCAGCCCCAGGCTGCTTCCTGGGTTCCTGTGCGGCACAGAAGGCCTCCCTGGAAAGAAATGGGTCCTGGGTTCTGGCCCTGCACCTCCCTGAGGGAAGGGGCTATTTACTTGGGGGTGGGGACATGGGCTTCTCTGGCCTCTGTCTGAGAATGGACCCTCAAGCAGGAGTCTCATATCTCCCTGCAAAGAAAGTAAAGGCTCATCTTCAGGGCTTGGCTTGGGTGGGGTGGGCTGGGGTGGAAGGCGCAAAGGCTGCCTGGGCTCAGGGAAGACCCCTACTCTGAGGCCTCTGGGGCAGACTGGGCCACATCTACGAATGGAGAGCGATTTGGGGGAAGAGGCGAGTGAAAATAACCACAGCTGGAAGGCTCCCTGAGGCCCTCCCCAAGTTAGCACACCGTTGTTCCTCTCGCTCACTTGTCCTAGAAGACAGACATCCACTGCACGTGGTTGCTAGGATACAATATGGTAATTTTTAAAATTAATTATTGAATGACTGGCGTTATATTTAAATAATTAAATGTAATGTCAGTGAAGACTATGATAGGAAGATGTGTTCTGAAACATCTGTTTACACACATACACGTGTGTGTGTTCAATATAAACGGTGTCCAGTATATAGGTACATTGTTCTTTTATGTTAAAAGAGGATGAGATAAATCTACATGTTTGTCCATCCGTCCATCCATCTAGCTATCCACCGACTCCCTCTTCTGTATTCTCATAATGTCTTCTGCACACCTCTATCCTAGCATTTATGATGCAACCACCCTGTTTTATAGATGAGCACCCAAGTCTTGGATTACCCAGGTCACCCAAGGTCATAGAGCAAAGAATTAACCAGGAGGTGTGAACCTTGGTTGGCCAGGGTCCAGATCTGGGCATAATCCCTGGTCTACCTTCACATGTCAGGCACCTCTGGCCACCCCAGAAATTCCCATCATAGGAAAACCAGCATTGGCTGCAGAGTTGGCCTGGCCAGGGCCACCATCAAGAAGTAGGGGTGGGTGGAGACGGTCAGAGGAGGCAGCGCAGCCTGGGCTGATGCAGGAAGAAGGGTCTTATGCTGACCTTGGGCTTGGATGCAGACAGGTGTTTGGCCTGGGCTTATGGGGGTCCATGGGGACAGGTGTTGCCTGAATCAGGAGCCCCCACGAGGGGACAAGCAGTCACTGTTGCCTCCTGCTGCAAGGTCCCCTAACCCAGGGGTCCCCAATCTCTGGGCTGCACAGCTGGAAGTGAGAGCAGGCAAGCGAGTGAAGCATCATCTGTATTTACAGCCGCTCCCTATCGCTCACATTACTGTCCGAGCTCCGCCTCCTGTAGATTCTCTTTAGAGCGCGAACCCTACTGAGCTTGAATCATCCCCAAACTATCCTCCCATTGACCCGATCTATGGAAACATTGTCTTCCACGAAATCAATCCCTGGTGCCAAAAAGGTTGGGGACTGCTGACCTAGCGACCAGCCAGGTCCTGAGGCTTCCCCACCCCCTGCTCCTGCTCCTGGAGCCCTCCACTCTGAGTCTTCACTACTCCGTGAGGCAGCAAGCAGGGAGCATTCTTATTTCGCAGGTGAGAAGTGGGGTCTGGAGAGGTGATGGGCCCTAGCTGGGAGGGGGCGGCGAGCCCTCCCCTCCCGCCCCCTCAATCTCTCACTGGGTAGGCCCAGACAGGCCCAGTTTTACAGATGAGGAAAGAGAGGCCTCCATTCTCACAGCCAAACATGCGGGGCTTAGACCAAATGGGACACTTTTCTCGTTTTCTTATCCAGGAGCCAAGGAGCGGACACATCAGCAGAGGAAGCACAGCAGTTACGAGGATGAACTCGCAGAGGTGCTTGAGAAGCCGAACGACCAGGCCGAGCCGAAAGGTCAGTGCTGACCCGTCTGGCCAGAGACCAGGGGAAGGAGAATGAAGAGAACAGTGATTACAATAGACTGAGGGTCCCAAGGAGTCAGAAGCCCCTCCTTTGGGTCCTGGAAGGAAGCTCTTATTTACTTCTCTTTCCAAATGGGGAAACTTGAGTCCCAGGGAGGCTGAAGCACCTTCCCAAGGCGTAACTGGAGATGGACCGTCTCACTCCGCAGCCCTTGGTGGGTCGTATCTGCCCACCCCAGGCGCTGGCACTCGGGCAGGAGCCCTGGCAGGTGGGCGGCTTTGACTCTTCCCAGTGGCCGAGGCAGTGCCTGTCCTCTGGGGAATTTAGTGGTGCCCTGGCATAGCCTAGGGGCAGCAAGATCCCAGAGGAGTAGGTGTGAAATACTAAATGAATCTCGATCATCTTTTTTTTTTTTTACTGCTTTGGGTTTTGGTTGCAGCATGTGGGCTTTCTCCTAGTTGGGGTGAATGGGGGCTACTCTCGAGTTGCGGTGTGCAGTAGTTTTAGCACACGGACTTAGTTGCCTCACAGAATGTGGGATCTTCTCAGACCAGGGATTGAACCCATATCCCCTGCATTGGCAGGCGGTTGCTTAACCACTGGACCACAAGGAAAGTCCTGGATCATCCTTCTTGAAAACAGAGAGCTTTTAGGGGTCACAGAGATATGGTTTAGGTCAGAGGGATGCTCTGTTAAACTCACCTTTCTGGCTAGAAACAGTCACACGCTTGTCCTCGCAGCCCTGCTCTTTGCACGTGGAAGGTGAGTGAACAGGGTCATTTCCTCGAAGCAGGGACCTCAGCGGTCATCCGTCGGGGCTGAGAGGGGAATCCTGCCCGCGTGCCCTCACATGGGCCAGGGCTCTCACACTAGTGGCTGCTTGAGGCACGGCAGGGGCTCACATGTTCTGGTTCCATGGAAACGAGTGTCTGGCTGACCCTGGTTGTCTGCCATGGGCTGTAGGAGGGGGAATAGGGTAGCATTCACTGGGGAGACAGGCATATGTCAGTGCAAAGGGCACCCTGTACTTGGCATTCGGAGATTTAGGTTCAAGGCTCAGCTCTGCCATCTGAGCACAGACATGTCACCTTACCTTTCTAAGGGTTGGTTTGAGTTTCTGTAAAGTATGCATGGGAGCACTTCCACCTGGAGTCCTGGAGTCAAATGGTGGAATGGACTTGGTAGTGACTTGTTCGACAGTAATCATTTCTAGCGATGGGAGGGATTTTTACTAGATGAAAAGCTGTCTTCAAAGCAGGTACAAGTAAATACCTTTTAATGAAAGCTGACAAATACTGAGGAATTGAATACTTTCACAGGACACTCAAGATAGAATGCTTGCAGAAGGGAGAAGGACGTCACAGTAATGGTGCCCATTACACAGAGAGGTTAAGGAACTGGCCCAAGATCACACAGCAGTTCATCTGCTATCTTAATTTTAAATTCAGGGCTCTAGCTTCTGGGGTCATTTTCAAGGGGTCATCACATCCTCCTTCGAGAGGTAGAATTACAAAGAAAGAAACACAGTCCCGTTGTGCTGAGGTCAAACCCAGACGTGGAGAGAGCAACCCTAATTCTCTCATGTGTGTGTTGGGTTGGGCTTGCTGGAAGCTTAGAGATACAGTGACTAAGATCTGAAATTGGGCCCAGGGGAGATTCGATGTGCAGCCTGGTCCTCAGGGCCTGACTTTGCTCTGTTGTTTCTGTAGAGGGGACAGAAGAGGTGTCCTCCAAGGATGCTGCAGAAAAAAGAGACGATTCTAAAGAGGTGGAGAAGAGTGATGAAGACTTGGACGGAGACAGGCCTCAGGCCTCCCCAGAGCTTGGGCCAGGGTCCAAGGTTGAGGAGGACAACCAGGCCGCTGGGGAGGAGGAGGAGGCCCCCTCCAACGCCCACCCCCAAGCCAGCCTCCCCAACCCAAAACACCCAAGCCCACAGGCCGAGGAGGACAGTGAGGGCCCCTCCCAGGGTCCAGCCAGCAGGGAGAAGGGCCTGAGTGCAGAGCAAGGGAGGCAGGCAGAGAGAGAAGAGGAGCAGGAGGAGAAGGGGGAGGAGGCTGAGGCTGGAGAGAAGGTCGTCCCGGAGGAAGAAAGCCCCCCCACCGCAGCATTTAAACCCCACCCCAACCTCGGCGGCAAGGAGACGCAGAGGGGTGAGACTGTGTTTGATGTCTCAGATTTCAGCAGATATGTTGGGGAGAGGGGGATGAGTGGGAGGGCGGTGCCCTGATCCATAATCTCATTCCACCTTCTCAACAACCCTGAAAGGTAGGTATTATTCCCATTTGCCAGATGGGAAACCAAGGCTCAGAGAGGTTAAGTAATTTGCCCGTGGTCACACAGCTGATTTGTAGTAAACACAGAGATTCCATCCCAGGCTTATCTGGTTCCAAAACCCTGCATCTCTCAATAGTCCACGGAGCCCCTCTCCACCCCCAGGAGGGGAGAGGGGCTTTGCAGGGTGAGTGGGTGGGATTTGGGAACCGAGGAGCAGCATAATGGGAGGGAAAAGGCTGGTCTTGGGACACTGTTAGCCTCAACCAGGGGTTAGGAAAAGATCCTGGCTCCCCTTGAGGGCCTGGTCAGGGTCTTTCCTTCCTCCCCAGCCGGGCGATCCCTGGGTCGGGTCTTCTGGGATGAGAGGGCTAAAGGAAGAGGTGACTTGGAGCTTTAAGGGGTCTTGTAAAGCATGGTGTCGAGGTGGCCTTTCCGTCCAAGGGGAGTCTGTTGTGAGAGGCTGAGCTGGACCGGGTGTACAGGGTCTGTGGTCACAACAGTGGCTACAGAGAGACTTAAGGGAGCGGCAGGGGCCGGGAGAGGTGGCAGCTGCGCCCTTATTCTCCCACTCTTGTCTACCAGCTGCTCCAGGTTGGCCCGAGGCTCTGGCCGTGGATGGAGCCGGGAAGATGGGGGCTGAGGAGGCCAAGCCCACTGAGGGGAAGGGGGAGCGGGCACACTCCCGGCAGGAGGAAGAGGAGATGGTAGGGGCCCCTCAAGGCCTCTTCCGTGGTGGAAAGAGCAGGGAGCCCGAGCAGGAGGAGCAGCTCTCCAAGGAGTGGGAGGATGCCAAGCGATGGAGCAAGATGGACCAGCTAGCCAAGGAGCTGACGGCCGAGAAGCGGCTGGAGCGGGAGGAGGAGGAGGAGGACCCCGACCGCTCCATGAGGCTCTCCTTCCGGGCCCGGGGCTCTGGCTTCAGGGGTCCTGGGCTGCAACTGCGGCGAGGCTGGAGGCCAGGCTCCTGGGAGGACAGCGTGGAGGCCGGCCTGCCCCTCCAGGTGCGCGGCTACCCGGAGGAGAAGAAGGAGGAGGAAGGCAGCGCCAACCGCAGACCAGAGGTTGGTACGGGGTGGGAGCCGGCCCCGGGCCCCGCTGGGGGGCAGCTGCACCCAGACGTGCTGCCTCGCATCCCCGAGGGGACACTGTCCCCTTGGAGTCAGGACTAGAGAGGCACCTGGATAGGGGGCGCTCAGGAGACTGGGAAGGCACAGGAGAAAGGGCATGTGGTGGTGGTGGGCACCCAGGAAAGCTGGCGGACAGGCAGACAGAAACATTCAGATCAGCACACAGAAGCTGAAGAGCTGGTGAGTGAAGCGGATCCTAGAGGCACTGGGAGGGGCCTTTGTCCTAAAGGCAGTAGGGAGCCTCTGCAGGTTTGGAAGCAGGACAAGGATGGATGGCGTTTGGAGCTTTGAATGGACAGAGCTTTGGAAACTAAAGGACCTGGTGGGGGCTGGCCTGGGAGGGCCACTTGCTGCCTGGGGGAATCCAGGCTCGGGGCATCACTGGCCTTGAGAGCTGGGAGGGCAGGACAGGAGGGGACACTTCGGGACAGGTGGTGTCTGGGGAAGCCCTTCCATTGGCCCAGCCATACCCTCTCCTGACCTCCAGGCAGTTCAACTGCACCCTCTTCCCAGGTTCAGACCCTGCCTCCTGTCCCGATGGCAGAGTGGGGAGGATCTGGTGGTGATGGGTGGGGGAGGCATGGGCATGTGCCAAAAGACCGGGGGTCTACCTCCTCCTATGCTGGGTGATCTTGGCCAGGTCACTCCCCTTCTCTGAGCCTCATTGGTTCCTTCATTTGTGAAATGGGGGTAAGAAGTCCTTTCTGCCCACCTCATTATCATGATCAGAATGCACACAAGCTTTGAAACCTTGGCCATGCCCAGGGCTACTTGGGAAGCTCAGAGGGGTGTGGAGACATGATACCATGGGAGGGGATGGGTTGGGACTTTGGGGCAGGCTGGCAACACCACCTTGGAGCTGGGGGAGGCCTTCGGGGCGGGGGGCAGTCCATGGTTCAGGCTTTAATTCTCAGGGGGGCATCAGGGCTTTTTGGGGGCTGGGATGTGTCCGAGGCCCTGGCCCCAGTGTTCTTCTCTGCCCACCCAGAAGACAATATGGCCCTTTCCTCGGGTCCCCAAACCGAGGGGCCTGGACCTGGGTCCCAGCAGTCTGAGAGGGAGAAGACTCCTCCTTGGCAGCTGGTGCCGAGTGGTCGTCTGCCTGTGTCCCCAGGGACTGAGGGGACAGGGCTTCAGGAAGCAGCCACTTGCCCCCCACCCCTCCCCAAGGCTGGGCACCTGTCATCACTGCCTTTCCCACCCTCAGAAGCTGGGGAGAGCCAGGGGCTCTGAGGGACTGGCTGGCTTCCCTTCTCCACGGGCAGAGGGGTCCTTGGACTACAGGCAGGAGAAATGGGGACCCGAGTCCTAAGGATTGGACAGGACAGGGCCCCCCGACTAAGCCCAAAGGTCTTAGAAAAAATGACCCCGGAATCACAGAACTCCTGCCTGGGGGGTTACTCCAAGATAGGGGCCACTAGGGTCCCCATTTCATTGGCAGCCATTGTCTGTCTCTTCTCACTGGGGCCCAGGTAGGGACTCCTGGAGAACCAGCCCTCTCGGTCAAAGCTGGGGTATGGCTGAGTCCTGCTGTGAATCTGAGGGCATGCTCTTGGGGTCAGTCCCAGAGGGTCCTCGCCTGCCCTGGACCATCCTGGCAGCCAGAGCTTGGGGACCCAGTGACGGGGACGGAGGCTGGAGGTCCCGTCCAGGCAGTGCTCACGTCCTTAAGCCTGTGTGCTGGTCCCCTGCCCCTTGGGTAGGGAGGCCTGCAGTAGACAGGACACCCAGGCATGGCCTCGCTCAGGAAGCCACTGTCACAGCCTTAGCCTCGGGCTGGGGGGCTCGAAGCAGCTCTGAAAGGTACCATAGGCTTGGTTTCCCACATGCCTGCCCAGAGCCACTGAGGAGGAGGTGGGCCTGAATAAGAGTCCGCCGGGGAAGGTATGAGGTCGGGGCACACACTCTTGCACGCTGGCTTCTCAGAGCAGAGCAGCAGGGCAGCTTCACTGTCCCCATGAAATAGATGAGGCTCAGAGAGGCAAAGCCACCCATCCGAGGTCACACAGCTAAGCCGGGAGCCAACAGGCTGACTGTGCGCTCCACACTCCAGCGCCCGGGTGACTGGGTGTTCTCTCCTAGGACCTGGAGCTGGAGAGCTTGTCGACCATCAAGGCGGAGCTGGAGAAGGTGGCCCACCAGCTGCAGGAGCTGCAGCGGGGCTGAGGCGCCAACTGGCCCCACCAGCCAGGGCCCCGAGACACCCCGTGGGCCTGGCTCTGTTGTCCCTCCTGCAGGTCCCGGCCAGACAGCCCTGGGTGCTGCTTCTGGGAGGGAGACCGCCCCCAACCTGCCCAAGCCCAGCCCACCCTGTTGCCCCCACGCTCTTTTCCTCCTGCTCCTGACCCCTGCCCCAGTGTGCCCCTCTGCAAGGCAGACCCCCTGCCTTTCAACGATTGTCCTGTCTCTGAACACAGACAGCCTTCTCAAAGTTTCCCTTCCACCATTAGAGCCACTGGGCCTAACTGCAATAAGTACTGACCTTTAGGTGAAAGCTGAGGACTCCTGACTATATTGTGTATGAAATTTATCTAAGGAAAATAAATCTGCTCTGGGCTCTTTCCTGTTTCTCTGAACTTCCCCCATCTTGACTCCAAGTGGGGTGGGATGGATGGATTCAGGCAGAAGGACAAGGGGAGGTTCGGTCCCCCTGGGGTGACTCTGGGCTGCTTTTCAGTCCGGGGATTGGAGGGCAAGTGACACTGCTCCTCAAAACATCCGTTTCCTCATCTGTGAAGTGGGGGTGCTGACACCTCCCCAAAGTGCGTGTGGGATTAAATAACACTTCCCCCATCTGCCAGCCATACATGAGCCGGGTCAGGCAGGGACGGGGGCTGGTTTGGGAAACAGCCTCTGCTCTGTGCTGGGTAGAGGCCCTGACAGCCCTGCCACCAAGGCCAAAGGCCCAGCCAGCTCTGGACTTACTGACTCAGGCCTCTGAGCTGCAGACCCCTCCCTCGGCACAAATCTGTCATCTCCTCTGACCTGATACATGCACGGGGCTCTGGGGCATTTGAAGTTCAATGGTTCACTATAGCACGGTAGTCTTAGTCTCAGCTTTGAGAACGATGAAACTGAGGCTCAGAGGATGAGATGACTCATCAAAATCTCAGGCAAGAGTGATGCCCCATACATGTAACCACAGGGGCTGCAGGATTATGAATCAGGACAGGCTGATCTGCTGGACTGGAGTGGACCAGCTGATTATCAGGGCCAATCATTCAGTCATTCATCAAATGCTTGTGAGCCGCTGCCTTGAGCCGGGCAGGCCTGGGCACACAGAAATGGCCTGGATGAGCCCTGACTTCAAGAAATCCACCGCCTGCAGAAGGTGGGTTTTGACATCAGACTGCAGTTTGAATCCCCAGCCTAGCTAGAGAGTTTGGATGAGCATTTCTTATGCTCTTGCAGCCTCAGTTTCCTCATCTATAAAATGGGGATACTTTTTAACTTCTCACCAGATCATGGCAAGGATTCGAGGGGTCTAGACAGCCTGGACCAGAAAACCATTGCAGTGATGACACAAGTCGTTTGAGGCGTCTTGGCCAGTCTGTGCCTCTCCTAACCTGGCGAGCGGGCCCACTGCTGTTGACGCCTGTCCGTGAAGCACAGAGGGACTCTCCCAACGAGCTGGTGCCATGAGGTGTTTATTCACATTTCAATGAGACAAGTTTATAACACCCCCCCCCCGACAACCCTGACAGTTATCGAAATAACAAACATGACACTAACTGTATTCCACTAGTCAACTGTCAGCACATCCACCTCCAGGAACAGTTAACAAATAAAGAGAACACGGACACCTCGTCCCTGAAATACCCCTTCCCAGAGACAGGCCACCTGTTGCTATCATCACTTGGAGAAAATATGCAACTGAATCAAAAGAGCCAGTGGTTCTTGGTTTTTACAGAAGCGATGATTTTATAGACAGTATGTATAGATTCATATAAACATTATATACATACATGTGTACACAAATGGAAGTACAAGTCAGCTTGGGGTTCTGACAAGCATGGCTCGAGAACGGGATCGAAACACGTAGCATTTGTCAAAAGCACAGGTGTCAGCACTGAAACTGGAGCTGCCAGCGTCTTGGGAGCAGCCTTCCCAAAGAGAAAGCCTGCTGCAGCGGACTGGGGTCCACACCGGAAGCCGAGGTGGATTCAGCTGTGGGAAGGAGACAGTCCCTTCCAAGTCACCGGATTGTGGACAACTGGATGTAGAGCAAAAATGCAACCATTTCCGGAAAAGGCCCCAGGTGGCCTGGATGGGACCTGGTGGTGGGAACCAGAAGGAAGAGGGCCTGGTGCTTCCATGCCAACAGGCAGCTCTCCAGTGAACAGCGTGTCGGGGGAGGGCCATTCCGAGGCAGGGGTACCGAGCCTGTGTCGCAGAAGGTACGTCCAACGACCAACGGGAGAACCACCTGTCTGGAGGCCTCTGCTGCAACATCTCAGACTCAGGCTCTGGCAACAGTAGGACTCTGCCTACAGCACTGGGCATGGCCAGGCCCCCGAGGGCGTGGCCAGGCTTCCTGAGGGCGTGGCCAGGCTCCCAGAGCCGGTAGATGCCCAGAACCTTCAAGGCTGGATGCACTCCTCTGTCTCGTGGTAAGCCACGTTCAGGGGGTGTGTTGCTTCAGGACACTCTGCTCAGGATCTCTGGAGCACGGGGGCCCTTGAGCCGTGGCCCAGGAAGGGAGAGGAGCTATCGGGGGTCCCACGGGGTGAAGGGTCAGTCTCTAGGGCGAGAGGTCAGGGCAGATGCAAACCCTGAGGATATCAGAGGAGCCATTCAGTGGGTTCTCTGTGGACAATGTGATTCCCTGAGCCAAGGCCCAGTCCCCCTCGCAAGAACAACGCATACAGTCTCTCTTGGTCTCAGAGGGGCCGCCTGGCAGACAACAGCTGCTCTTCCCAGCTGGCTTGAAAACTACAGCTTCCTGCCAGGATCCTTCAATCTGCCATAAACCATATTTGGCAGTGCTCTGGATAGAGAAGAATCCTTTCTCAAGGTTGTTTTCTCCCTCACTGATGGGATTAACTTAAACAATACCCCCACATAACTCCTCAGGAGACAAACCTAGACAGCATATTAAAAAGCAGAGGCATTACTTTGCCAACAGAGGTCTGTATAGTTAAATTTATGGTTTTTCCAGTAGTTATGTATGGATGTGAGAGTTGGACCATATCAAGAAGGCTGAGCGCAGAACTGATGCTTTTGAACTGTGGTGTTGGAGAAGACTCTTGAGAGTCCCTTGGACTACAAGATCAAACCAATCAATCCTAAAGGAAATCAGTCCTGAATATTCATTGGAAGGACTGATGCTGAAGCTAAAGAAAGCTCCAAATACTTTGGCCACCTGATGCGAAGAACTAACTCCTTGGAAAAGACCCTGATGCTGGGAAAGATTGAAAGCAGGAGGAGAAGGGACAACAGAGGATGAGATGGTTGGATGGCATCACCAATTCGATAGACATGAGAGTTTGAACAAGCTCCGGGAGATGGTGAAGGACAGGGGAGCCTGGCGTGCTGCAGTCCATGGGATCGCAGAGAGTTGGAGACGACTGAGCAACTGAACAACACACTCCTTGGGACCTCCAACTGTGTCTCCTCCTGCGGGTGATGCTGAGGAACCTCTCGTCCAACCCTACTCACCGCCCCCCCCCCCCCCGCAAACTCAGACACCTTCATGCCAATGGCAACTCCTGCCACCAGGCTCTCTTGGGGAAGACAGACATCCAGCACCCACACTCAGTCGGGGCTTGAGTGCGTGTCAAACCACATTACGCTGTAACCTGCAAGCAGAACTCATCCTGTGGCCACTGCTCCAGGCTGTGCAGGGCAGAGACCTTGCAAGGGACCCTTTGAACCGATGCGAGGCCTCAGGCAAAACGTGGTCCTGCACTTGCTCCCGGAGCCCTTTGAGTCAAGGGGGCCTTCAGCAGCCCCGGCCACGGACCACAGCCAGATGTGCCACAGGGCCAAGGCCCCAACAAGCCCACCAACTAGCAAACAGAAGCTGGGGAAGGAGAGTCCCAACACCCCTGCCCCCGACCCCCAGTTTGCCAGCAGTTTACCAGCTGCTCACCAGAGCAGTCCCTCCCATGGGCCCTCGAAGGTTCTGAGACTGATCAGAGGTGGCAGCACCAAGCCCTAGTGAAGAAAAGGCTGCAAAGGCAGAGAGCATTCTAGGCAGGTCTGTCTTCCCCTGGCAGGATGCCCCAAGGCCAGGGACACTGAGGCCGAGGGGGAGACCAACTTCCTGGCGTGTGTCCTGGGACCCGGTCAGTGCACCCAGTAACACTGAAGTGGGGGTCACTTGCTGATGCCTCGTGCTGCCCACAGCCTTGTCTACACTCCCTGACGCAGCTTCCTTCACCCCTGCAGGATCAGCTACTCTTTGTTAGATGGGGCTCACCAGCTGGGGAGAGGCCCACACACGCTCTCGAGTAGACCGGTCCCTTCCCCACTGCTGTGCAGTTCCTGGGCCTTTATGAAGCTGACCCTCATCCTTGGGTTCCACTCCTGGGAGAGGCAGTCACCCTGCTGGCCACCGCATCGAGGCTGGTGGAAAGCGCCACGTCACTGGGAAAGTTCCTCAATATCTGGGCCCTGGATGCTAACATGTGAGACCCCGCGGGGGAGGCATCAATTAATCTGGACATGACATGACCAGGGCCCCACCAGGCGCGGGAGTCACCCTGCACTCCTGACCTGTCCTAAGGCGATCAGGACTGGGATTTTATTCCAAAAGATAAAGCTGTTTTATTAAAAGACGGCAGGAGGACAGAAACGTTCAGCAACGTTTTGTAAACACGTGTGAAATGCAGTTTGATTTCAGTAGTTTATTTTGGAGACAAAGCAGTGCAAGAGGCCGGCCACGCTTTCCTGCTTCCCCTGGAGCTCAGGGGTCAGACGAGGAAAGGCGACGTACAGACATTATAATCGGGGTTCAACACTCAAGTCGTGTAAACACAGTTGTCGGCGGGCCCTTGGTTTCTAGGACAAGCTGGCCAGTTATGAGGCCAGCGCGCCTCACCCCAGCCCTTCCTCTCCTAGAGGCAGGCGACCCCCGTGTCCCTACTGACCAGGCCTGAAGGTGCCCCCGAACGCCCGGCTCAGCAGCTTCTTTCATGGCACCCTCCCTGGACCTCGCACGACGGCCCAGAGGCCTGTTCCCCTCCCTCTGAGTGCCTGATATCTGAAGATACACGCTCATGCTTCAGGGGGTCTGCTGTTTCCCACCGGGTGGTCACACTGACAGGACTGACCAAGCCCCTCACTGGTCCCCTTCTCTGCCAAGGGGGCTGCCTGCCCGCCTGGACTGTGGAACTGGACTGATTAGCCAGTGGTCGGTTGGTCTGCTGCCATCAGGGGCTGGGGGCTTGGACGGGAGAAGCAGGGAACGTTTTCTCACCTCTGGGGCTGCAGCCTGCTCGCCCCTGGCTGGCTCAGTGCTGGGGGTGGGCAGTGAACACGGGAGGGGTGTGGATCAGGCCTTCCGGGCAGGCGTGGAACAACTGGCAGCCTCGTCCGGCCTGGGAAGAGGACCCCCGCCAATTGCCTGGATGCCAAGGGGAGGCTCATCTGGGTGGACTTCACAGAAGGACAGGCTGCGTCGCAGGGGTAGGGCATTGAGCCTGCCCTTGAGTTCTCTGGTTGTGAGTGCCCAGCGACTCTCGGAATGATTTGCCCAAAGTCACAGCACAAATCCTTGGCATAGGCAGGATCAGCCCAGAGGCTCTCGGCCGGGCAGCCTCCTCCCAGGTCCGGGGAGCAGCGGCCCCTTGTCAGGGAAGAGCAGACCCTTTGCACGGCCGCACAGGACATGGGTTGACGGGCCCAGGGGACTCCGGGGAGCAGGACATGGAGAGAGGCAGCCAGCCTGGGGCTGTGGCCTTCCTGGAGAAGCATCCTCCTTGGCTTTCATGAGCGGCAGCAGGTGGATCACAGCTCAGACCCGCTGCATGGACTTCCCCAAGGAAAGGGAAGCTGAGGCCTCTGGTTTCCTTGGGGTCATGCTTTTGGGAGGGGCAGCTGCACACCTGGTGGGGCTTGAGGCCATCGGTAAGAGAAACGGGCCGGGCCGGGGTGCAGGGGCCGGGAGGGAAGAGACGGGGAACCATTTACTCGCTCTGCCCAGCCACCGACGACCTGACCCGGGACGGCCTGCTCCAGCGTCCCCGAGGACCAGCCCACAGCAGCCATTGAGAAGGACAGATGTGGGCGTACCCAGGCACTCACTCACTCACACACACACATACACACATGCATGCCCCACCTCACATTCAGACCTAGTGTTGAAAACACAAGCGTGTGTAAACTCGGTGAAGACATCTGCACAGCAGGAACCTGGCGGGATCATCCCTTTGCCGCGAGGCTGGACTGCTTGGGGTTCCTTTCCATCCCCACCCCCACCCCTCATTTAGATCATGACATCAGAAAATCAGGTTAAAAATTAAGGAAAAAAAGTAGAAGAAGAATCAGATCATTGGGAATCCTTAGTAGTAGCGTCACCATCGTCAGGAGCTGCTCGCCCAGCGGCCGCGCTCCGTGGCCCACGCCGTCTCTCTGGGTCCCGGGCTCCAAGGCTACTGGGAGGAGGCCTTAGTGGCCAGCGAGGCCACGCAGTGCTGCTGGAAGCTGGGCGACACAGCGGCGGTACAACCGAGTCTCTGGTGCGGCAGCTTGGCGGTGCTACCGGCGCCCACGTCAGCCTCAGGCGTCCAGGGCGGCTCCTGGCCCATCATGCTGCTGCAGCAGCCGGGGCTGGCGCTGCACGTCCGCTCGGCCGCCAGGCCGCCCGCCTGCTCCGCCAAGAGCCTGCTGTGCCTCAGCGGGGCCACGTCCCCCGTGCCCGCCGCGCCCGCGCTCTGGCCCTGCAGCACGCTGGCGATGTGGTTCAGGAGGTCGGTGAAGAACTCGTTCACACCCTCGTAGCCTGCGGACAGGAGAGACAGACGGCAGGCTTAGCCGGGTGGGTGGGTGAGTGGGGCGCTCAGGGGCAGCTGGTGGAGCACACACAACCCAGACGCCAAGTGTGTGTGGCCCCAAGGGCCAATGCTTGAATTCTGGCTGCACCCCTGGGGTATGAGCATCTAGAGAGAGGAGGCTGATGAGAAAGGGCCCTGCGCCCTGTCCCTCTCGGGCACAGCTTCAGGGTCTCATTTGATGACCCTGCCCACGTGGTTTGGTGGGCTTCCTAGATGGCACATGTGGTCAAGAATCCAAGTGCCAATGCAGGAAACACAAGACACGTTGAGTTCGATCCCTGGGTTGGGAAGATCCCCTGGAGAAGGAAATGGCAACCCATTCCGGTACTGTTGCCTAGGAAATCCCATGGACAGAGGACCCTGGTGGGCTACGTATACAGGGTCGCAAAAGAGTCAGACATGACTGCGTGACAGAGCACTGTGGTTTGATGCCCTTATGTGGGCATGTGGCTCAGGGGGCGGGACCGAAGGCCCATGCCTCCAGGTCTAAATCAAACACCTCTCGTCTCCACGTGGCCTGGCCCCAGCTTTCTCGTGTGTAAACAGAAGATTCAGGTTTGGGGGCTCCTGCGGGCAGGGCCGGGAGGAGCTGGAACATGAGTGAGGCCTGATCAACAGCATCTGCTCCTGGAACTGAGTCTGTTCCACTTCCCCTCCCCCAAGCACCTGCAAGGAGGCCCCCAGGGCTGCGTCCTGAACTGCAAAGCCGAGGGACAAAGACTGTGCAGCCTGGACAAGACCATCGCACGGACACCGCCTCCCTCACACGCGGGCCTGGGTCTCCTGAACAGAAACTGCCGGGGGCCTGCGTTTCCCATCACAGACTCAATTGTGATTGTCAGCAAACAGTCCTCAGAGCCTCCCACAGAGCAAGTTTCAGATCTAGGGCGAGGATTTTGCTGACTTTTGAAAATGGCTTCAAAAGAAATTCAACGAGGGGTGGGTGCCCCACCCCCTGCCTGTCCTAATCAATTCGCAGTGATGCAAACCAGGCACATAGCTGCAAGAACAATGATCGGGACAGGAAGCATGTCCCCAAAAGGGACGGTGTGCCTGCATCAGGAGGGGCTGCACGGACCACCTCCTGGATGTGACCCCATCGCTGACACCAGGCCTGGTGCTGAGAGGGACTGACCCCTCCCTCGCACAGCCTCTGGGATGGTCTTCACAGCCATCCATACAAGCAGCGGGGGAAATGAAAGTTCAGACATGGGCAGGTGCACTACTGCATACAGAAAAGGCTGCCCAGGGGCCGGTTGGATGGGAATGCCTCCCTGTCCACGCTCTGTGTGTTCAGCAAGCAATGGTTTGCTGTTTTTGTGGTTTTGAGGGAGCCCGAGGATGAGACGGACAAGCGGAGGTTACCAGAGTAAAAACAAGAGTGGGCAAGATAGCTGGCATGCACCATACTTGCCCTGCTCGACATGTTCTCACTTAATCATCACAACCCTCTGTCCCCATTTTACAGATGAGGAAATGGAGGCACAGAGTTAAGTAACCAGCCCCAAACACCCAAGAGCCATCAGCAGGTGGATATGTGTCCACTGGAGGGTGACTGGGGTGACAGTGTCCACAGCTAGGGTCCATCCAGGCTGAGTGCTGCCCTGGCTATGTGCTTCACAATCCTCCCTCGTGGCATCCTGGGAAGGGTATGTCCTGGGGAGTGGGGCCCGAGGGTTGGCCCCATTCTACAGATGGGGATATTCATCGGAGGAACTGATGCTGAAGCTGAGGCTCCAGTGCTTTGCCACCTGATGCAAAGAGCCAACTCGTTGGAAAAGACCCTGATGCTGGGAAAGACTTAAGGCGGGAGAAGGGGGTGACAGAGGATGAGGTGGTTGGATGACATCACCGACGTGATGGATGTGAGTTTGAGCAAGCTCCAGGAGTTGGTGATGGACAGGGAAGACTGGCGTGCTGCAGTCCATGGCGTAGCAAAGAGTCAGACACGACTGAGTGACTGAACAACAATAGGTGAGGACAACACGCAGCGCTGGGATCTGACAGGCCCTTTGGTGCCATTTGTGCCTTGAACACACGTGGTGCTGGGTGCTCCACCCTAGCCCTGGCGGCTTCCTCTGCCCTGGGACTGGGGTGATTGGCAGGGTAGCTGTAGCCCCGCGGGGGCCATCAGCAGGTATGCTGCTGGGTTTCCAGGGTCGGGATGCAAGCAAGGAGGAGAGTTGAGACCCGCTGACGGGCTGCCAGGGAACATCAGCTGTTCCCTCAACAATGGCTCTGCCGTCCCCAGACGAGGCCTGGCGCAAGGCCCCACGCAGCCTGGGAAGGGTGTGTGAAGTGAAGTGCTCTATGAAGTGAAGTGAAGTGAAGAGCTCTGTGGGGCTGGGTGCTGTGCACACATCATCTCCCCTGGAGGAAGGGAGTGTTCTTCCCACTGCACACGAGCGAACACAGGTTGCCCGGGCAGGAGGCTCGTCTCATCAGGGGGCAGAGCCAGGATTTGCACCCACGACTCAAGGGGAGAAAGCATGAAGCCTCAGGTCAGGCCCCCAGACCCAGCCCTGCTATTGGGATGTGACCTTGGACGTGGCGCCCAGCCCCCTGGCTCCATGCATGTCAGTAAATGGAGATCCCAACAGTCCTCTGCCCGTTGTGTGGCTGTGAGGATGAGATGAGGCGCTGGGGACAAAGGTCCCCAGGCAGGCTGGGCACCAAAGGTGGACATGACTGCCCAGCATGTGGGCTGGCTGGCGGAGTGCTGCCGGACACCCACGGTCTGAGGCACAGGGTGAACCAACCAGGACCAACAGGTACCCCAGATCCAGGCTCATAAATCGAGCCGGTAGAGAGCCAGGCCCCAGGCGGCCGTCTCCTGGACACCGCCTCCCTGGGGCCCTGGGCTGCATGCCCTCCCTGGAGCCTTCCCCAGTGTGGGCCAGGCGCCCTTACACAGTCTCTGGGGGGCTCAGCCTTGTCACTCAGGCCTGGCCCGTTGAGGGGGCGGGCTAATGGCTTCCTCTGTGCATGCTGGTTCACTGTAACTGTCCCTCCTCTGAACACCCGGGACGCCCGGCCCGAGTTGCACAGGTCCTGGTGGGGTGGACAGACTCCAGATGCGGCACAGACCCACAGCTCAGTGGTTTGTGAGTTCTTCTCTCTCCCTCCTTCTAGAACCTCCACCCCAACAGCCCAGTGCTGCCTTGCCCTGCCCCCCGAGTCCATTAACCCGCGACCTTCTTGCCTTCATCCTCCCCATCTCCTCCCTGGTTTAGATCCTCTGATTTGTTGCAATTGTTCCCTTGACGCAGCCCCAATTCCCTTGTGCTCTCTCATTCCGTCACCCGCATCCATCAGAAACCTACCTCTCCCTCCAGGCTGCGCCAAGGGTAACTACTGAGAAACAGGCCACTGTCCCACAGGGTCTCAACTTCTGATCACAAACACAGCCCTCAGATGGCCGCCCCATCTTGCTCGGAGAGAATGGCCATGTGCTGGGCTCCCCTCTGGCCTCCCCACTGCACAGGAAGCCTCGGGCCACAGGGCCCCTCTGCAGGCCCTCGCATGGCTCCCTCCCTCCCTGCCAGGCCCTGCCCCCACGCCTGCTTCCCAGAGGAGCCCCCGTCCTCCAAGGGCAGGACCCCAGCCGCCGTGCGCACGCCGCCCCAGTGTCTGCAGCAGCCGGGACGCGCAGCAGGCCCCGGATAAACCGCGTGGCTGAGGGAGCCAGGGGCCTCCTCCGAGCCCGGGCTTCCCTGGCTGTGAACTGCGGGGCTGGCTGGGCCCGACCCGCGTGCCCTCCATGCAGGGGACACGCATCAAGCACCCAGCCTAGTGGCCCGTGAGCACTCCCCACGCACAGGGGCTCTTGGCCCCTGCAAACCCAGGGGAGCATTCTCCTCTGGCAAGCCAGGCTCTCACACGTAGGAATGGCTTCCTGTCTTCTTGGCCACTGAGCAGGGCTGCTGCTCTACCTCCAGGGCGGGTGCTTGACAGAGGTGAGAGCCGAGGTCTCGAGACAGGGACGACCGCTGAGAAGTACCCGCCCAAGCTGCTCCGGGCTGGGGGGTGCCAAGCGTCACTGTCCCTGACCTGCTGTGAGGACAGGGCGCCGCCCAGCCTCAGCACACGTCTGGGTGAAGGAGCCCAGCCCAGGACTGCCCCCCGCCCCACAGTCATCACTGTGGCTAACGGTCCCGCTGAGGGGTCTCTGTGATGTCTCCTACGGAGCCATCGCTGAGTGGGGATCTGAGGGTGCCGGGCAGAGCCTGGTCACGCCAGCAGGCCCACAGGGCCTGGCACGTGCTTCCCGCCTTAGGGCTACAGCAGACAGCGTGGAGCAGGCCCCCTAGCCGGCCAGATCTGAGCATGGCCCCCACACGGTGGCTCAGGGCGGGGAAGGAGCAAGACCTTGCCACCACCCTGCAGTGTGACCTGGGACAGTTTCTCCCTCCCTCCCTTCGTGGAAACTGGGCTTTGTATTCCCTCCAGAATCCTCTCAGCTCTTTAAGTAAATTTAAAAGGGCCCGAGAGGTCAGCTGACCTCTTGGCCAAGAAGGGCTACTGCTGATGGCACAGGGTCAGGAGAGTTCAGTCACTCAGTCGTATCCAACTCTTTGGGTCAGGAGAAGTGGGGTAAAGGACACACGTTCAAGAGCGGGTCCACTGTGAGCCCTGAATATCCGCTGGCAGGTGGGCAAAGGCTTAGCGGTGCTGCCCTGACCCCAGGCCCCAGACAGTGAGGGATGGACTGGTCAGGCCGGCTCTCCTGCCCCGTCATCCACCCACGGCCACCAGTCTCCAGGCAGGTGAAGGCAGCCCCCGGCCCCACGGCTCACCGGGGAAGGCGTTGATGTCGATGACAGCGTGCTGCCCCGTCTGGTTGTTGATGATGATGTCGATCCCGAAGAGAGACACGCCCAGTGCCTGCCGCAGGGCCCGGGACAGCTCCCGGATGACCTCATCGCTCGGCCGCTCGAACACGCCCTCGATCTTGTCCAGCTGCCAACACACATACACGACACACAGACACACGGGAGTCAGACCTCGGGCAGGGAGACGCGATACTAAACCATAGAGACCCCCACTGCGGCGCCACGAGGCCGGCTCTTACCTCCAGGCAACAGGCAGGACAGACCCTCTAGGATCAGCCCAAGGATGGCCATTTCCAAGTCCTGCCATGGGCTGGGCAGGCATGGCATCTGTGACCTCTAGCCCTCATGCCCACCGGGGAGGCGAGCATCATTACCAGCATTTTACACAGAGAGGCACTGATGCTCAGGGTCAGGGCTGATTCACACCCACATAGCTTAGGGTTGCATTTGGACCCAGGTATTTAGCCCATGGAAAATCCCATGGACTGAGGAGCCTGGTGGGCTACAGTCCATGGGGTCGCAAAGAGTTGGACATGACTGAGCGACTTCACTTATTTAACCTGCAAGAGCCATGGGCTTCCCAGGTGGCACTAGTGGTAAAGAACCCGCCTGCCAATGCAGGAGACATGAGAGACATGTGTCTGATCCCTGGGTTGGGAAGATTCCCTGGAGGAGGGCATGGCAACCCACTCCAGTATTCTTGCCTGGAGAATCCCCATGGACAGAGGAGCCTGATGGGCTACGGTCCATGGGGTCACAAAGAGTCAGACATGACTGAAGTGACTTAGTGCACACACACTGAGCCTGTAAAAAACCAGGTTCTTAGCAGAAAGGAAGGAGAGTCTGCTGTGACCCCATGGGGGTCAGGGCACCTAAGAGCTGCACCTTGAAGAGGGGAAGACTGGAGTGGCTGGGCCAAGGGACCCAGGTGAGAGCACGGTGGAAGCAAAAGTGCAAGGCAACCACCCATGCAACAGAGTTGGGAGCAGCTGGAAAAGTCGGGGAGGACGTGGGCAGTGGGGGGAGTTTTTGTCAGCATCACCACACCAGCCCATCGTTGTCAGAGCCTCAAGGCTGTGAGGCGGTGGGTTCCATGGACCAGCCTTCATTTACTGGCTGGTACTGGGTGGGGGGAGGTTTGGATACAGGGCTCCTGGGTGGGTCTTGTCATTCTCTCCTTCCAGACAAGTTGCTAACCTTGGTGTTTCCACCCTAACTCCCCATGCCCAGCAAGCTTCCCCAGAGTCTACTCAGCCACTCCTGCCCAGCTCCTGGGTCTGAGCTCAGCTTTTGGCGATGCTTCCACAGGGCCGGGGAGCTGGCCTCGGGACCCGACCGTGACACCACTCGTGTTCTGCTCTAATCACAGCTGGCCTGGGACAGGCAAGTCTTCATGGGCTCAAGCTTGGCCCCTGGAAGGAAGCAGCACATCACCCTGGGAAGGACTGGAGCAGCTGGCTCTGGATTTGAATCCGGACCATGACTTCATTGCTCTGCGGTCTTAGAGAGAAGTACTTGGCTTCTCTGCACCTCGGTGTCTGCTCATCTGCCAATCGGGCCATCGAGGCCTCTACCCCAGACAGCTGGGAGGAGTCACAAGGTCATTTAAGCAGTGGGGACAGCACAGGTCTGGCTGCAGGAGCTGCCGCACCTGCATTTTAGGGCACGGATGGCAGCGTGTCACCCCTAAGTTGGCCAGAATAGGGCTCACGCGTGGTGCTCAGTAGATACCAGAGTCCTAAGGCCGCTGGGATGGGGTCAAAGGGGAAGCACAGGGGCTTCCAGATCCACCAGAAATAAAAAGAAGAAGCTGGGTCAAAAAGTTAAATGGAGAATTACCACGTGGCCCACCAGTTCCACCCCAGATGTGTAACTTGTATGCCAATGTTCACAGCTGCATTATTCACAACAGGCAAAAGGCAGCAACAACCCGAATGTCCGTCAACAGATGACTGGATGAACGGAATGGGTTACCCAGACAATGGAATACTGTTCTGCCACCGTTTGCTACAATGTGGAGGAACTTTGAAAATATTAGGCCAGGTGAAAAAAGCTGGACACAGTAGGTCACCTACTGTATGGTTCCCTTAAAATGAAAAGTCCAGAAGGGGTAAATCCATAGAGACGAAAAGCAGATTAGTAGTTGTCAGGGGCCAGGAGGAGCAGGGAATGAGGAGGGATGCTTAGTGGGTATGGGATTCTCTTTCGGGTGATGAAAATGCCCGAAATGAAAATGTTCTCTGGAACAAGACAGAGGTGGTGGTTGTTCAACACTGTGAATGTACTTAATACCACTGAATTGTTCATGCTAAAATAACTAATCAGAGAAAACTTTCCTGGAGGTCCAGCGGTTAAGACTCCATGCTCCCAATTTCAGGGGGCCCAGGTGCGATCCCCTGTCAGGGAACCAGATCCCACATGCTGCAATGAAGATCTGATGCAGCCCAGTAAATAAATATAAAAAAAACCCACAAACAATTGAATGTGCCTTTCACCTGGATTTAGAAAAAAGAAGTGAGGCTGGGTCAGCCGGGCTGGGACAGAGCCTGGGCAGCACCCGCAGGACACGTGGCCCTCACCCCTGGCACAGGAAGCCGAGTGGCCAATGGGGAGCTTCCAGACATGCGAAGAGCAGGAAGGCCACCCCTGGGCACCGTGATGCTCTACCGTGAGAGCCGCTGCCCTGGCGCTGCAGGCAGGGCCCCCCTGCCCATGGCCCCACTGCCTCGGCGTCCCACCCTGAGGAGCCACTGTCTGGGGGACAGCGTCAGCCTGGCTGGGATGGGCACTTGTCCGCTTGGCACCTGCTGAGCCCACCCCGTGCCCGCCTCCCGCTCACACCCAGTGGTGCGGGCTCAGCAGCTCCGCCACTGGTCCCGCAGCTCCGGGGGACGCCCGGCACTGCCCAGTCTCCACCGCGTGCCCTGAGCTATAATGGGCCCCACCGGGCCCTGCTTTCTCGCCTCGGTAAATGGAATACTAAAAACACTGCTGCCGAGGGGCTGTGGCAAGGATCCACAAAGCTCCCGAGTCAGGCCTGCAGCGCAGGCCCGGCAGCAGGGGACCCATGGCCGCTGCTCTGTCACAAAGCCTCGTGACCCACTGTTTATAAAAGCTCTTTCTCAGCTCAGCGAAGGGATCTCAGACATCCTTCTGCAGCCCTCTGCCTGTCTGCAAAGAGGTGGCGATGGAGGTGCTGAGGTGAACCCCCAGGCACCCCCGTCACCGACACAGACCGAGCGCCTACTGAGCGCCTGACACGGTTGTGGGCGCTTCATCTAGGGACCCCCGGAGTCCCAGGACCATTCGAGGGGCAGGGTGGGGACACTGAGGCTCAGAGGGACAACTCGACTCGCCACACAGCTGGAAGGCTGTGGAGCTTCTGATTCCAGGCCGTCTCGTTCAGTGTCGCACTCAACCAATACCCGGTCCTAGTGTGGGGGCCTGCCAGTCAGCTGGGAGCAGCGTCCACCCTCGGGGGCATCCGACCAGGGAGGGAGGCAGGGCTCCCTGCACCTGCACGCAGCCACGATGGGGACTGGGGGGACCCCACGGGCGGAAGGATGCTAAAGGCTCGTCTGGACACCCGTACCTGGGAACGGACGTGTCTGTGCAGGAGGGCCTGACATCCCGAATGGAAAGGGGATGGCCGACTGCCTTTCCCGTTCCTTGTTTATGTGTTACCAGCCCTGGAGGACCCCCGCGCAGCAGTCATGAGCTGAGGGGAAGGGCAGGGCTGGGCGGTGGAGAGACGGTCTTGTGATGTCTCCAGGCTGACCTTTCCCACGTAGCAGATGGAGACATGGGCTGAGTCACAGGCGGGTGATAAACCGGGAAGGCGACTTTGCTTCCAGCCCTCACGGTGACCCTCTGGCCTCTGTTAACAGCCCAGTGGTGACAAGGGCCGCACTGTGCCGGGGCGCGGCAGGGACAGCTTCTCCTTAGGGTCATGGAATGCGGACCCCCTCTGAGAGTCACTGGCCGAATAAGGTCTGGGAGCCTCGCAGGGAGGACGCCCTGAGGTTTCTGAGCTCTCATGAGACCAGAACATTCTCTCACACAGAACACCTATCTCAGTCTTACAATGTGCATGGCCAGGCGCCGAGAGGTTCTCTTTAGAATCCGGTTGTTCTCCAAGTGTCCCTGACCACAGAACTTGTTCCCAGGTTACGTCTATCAACATCCCGAGGGAGGCTGGTGCTGACTCCAGGTCCCTGCCGTGCCTGGGCTCCGTTGAACCCTTGGCAAATGGCCGGCTCCTCAAAGGAACCAGGAACAAATGAGAAATGGGATCAGCGGCCTGGGTCAGGGGACAGTGGGTCGTGGCAAGCACAGGCCCTAGCCTGGAACGGAGGGGAATGAGGCCCAGAAGTGGGGGTCAGCTGTGGAGGGGACATGGGTGAACCCTCCCAGAACGGCCAGGAGGGCTCTGGCGTACAGGAGCTGGAGACCTGGCGGAGGGCTTGGTTCAGAGGCAGGGGCAACAGAGGCCACGGGCTCTGGGGACACGGCGGAACTGCAGGGCGTGCCGCAGTGCTGATTTCTAACTGCTCGGCGAGTGCCAGGGAGGTAAGAAACCCTAAATTCCTGCAGGACCCAGCTTTGGAATCAGACTAATCTGGGGTCAGCTCTCATCTCTGTCCCTGCGTGAGGGCCCTGTGGGTTTAGACAAGTTATTTAACCTGGCTGAGCATAGCTCTCCCCTCGGGAAAGCAGGGATGTCTGTCCACCCCTGCAAGGCTGTTTCGGGCCGGAGGATGGAGCCTGACGCCCACTGACTGAACTGCAGCCCCGAGCCCACTCCCCACCGTGAGCCACCCCAGCAGCTGCAGAAGTACACGGCAGGAGCTCAACAAACGCTTACTGGACTCCCATGGACAAGGAAAGAAAAAAGGAAAACTGAGGTGGTGCTGTCTCTTGCCTCCTTTTTTTTAGTAAACCAGGAAAAGGCAGCTTAGAAAGCAGGTCTTCAAATTCCTTACAACTGGGGGATTTCCTCACGTGGGAGAAGTTAGACAACCGTCCACCTGAGTAACCGAATGGTGAACGGGCCTGGCTGTGATGGCTGTTGCCATGGAGGCGCAAAGCGAGCAAGGAAGAGGCGGTCTCTGGAACCCCTCCCTGGGGTCCCCGGCCTGGCGGGGAAGGGCCTGCCACCCTGCCCCGCTGGGGAGCCAACGTCACCCCACCCCCAGGCTCGGCGGGAGGGACATACCGCGGTCAGGACCGACGACGACTCTGGCTTCGACACGTTGTGGCTGTTGAAGAAGATGGACTCGCGGTCTGAAAAGCAAAGACGGGAAGGAGCCAGAGTTAGAAGCTCCAGGCAGAGACGGCGATTCCACCACCGGACACCAGGGGGCAGCACCACCCCGGCCACAGGCCGTGGTGCCTCGGGGCTCAGGGTCCGGCCGCAGCCGCCTGGGCTCCCTCCCACCCGAGAGACACGACACCATGGAGGGACACACGCCGAGTCAGGGCTCCTGTTTCTTTTTCTTCCCATATAAACGTGAATGGCTTGACGAGCCTGCCTCCCCTCCACTCCCATCTCATACCTGGTTTACCCGATACCTAGGCCCCTTCCCCAGAGTGTGTCCAGCGTGTCTAACGGACGTGGCACCAGAAAGCGGGGCTGAGTGAGAAAGGGGAAATGCTGCATATGGGAACACCAAAGGCCCAGAGGAAAGAAGTCAACTGATGCCACTTCATCCCGCACCCCCAACCCCTCCTGGTTCTGCCCATGGAATGCCTTTTCAGGCACATTTAGGCTGCCATGGGGCACGCGAATGCTTAAAACACAAAGGGTTTTCCTGTTTCCCAGTTATTTAGGGGAAAAAAATAGGAAATCAGAACATGGGCTTTTGTAGGATCCATCCAAGAAAGCATAGAGAATAATTTGTCTGGCTTTGGAAACGGGCACAGCCGCCTGAAGTACCCTCCACATCTTCCCACACCATCTCTCCCAGCTCCCACTGCCCCCGGGCCCCCTCAGTCCCATGGAGAGGCAGATTAATAATCTCAATCCCAAGATTATTAGAGTGATGAGCAGTCGGTTTGTTCATTCATGCCCTGCAGAGTAAAGGCACGTCCGTTGTTCAGACACATGCTCTCCAGTACTTGGAAGTGTGCAAATGCATGGATCACAAAACCAGGAGCCTCGGGATTGAGAGATCTGGTAAAGACCCTCATCACAAAGGACCCCACGCCCCCTCACCCCGAGAAGAACACAGGCCACGAGCCCCCACGTGGCCCCAGCAGCCTCTGCTTTAGTCCTTCTGGGTGAGGTGTTCTGGCTCCCGTCCCTCAGGACACATTGCTCAGCCCTGAGACTCAGGACAGGAAGGGCCCCGCTGGGCACCACTGTGTGCCGGGGGCTGAGCCATGGGGGCACCTGCTCTGGTTGCCAACGTCCTCCCCACCCCCCCGCCAGCTCCAGGGTTACAGCGCCGCAATAATCATGCATGAGGAAGTGATTCGGGCGGAGGCCAAGCAGGCAGGCGCTGAGATGTACCTGGCGTCTTTCCTGCTAGCGGGGCACGCAGGCCCCTTGCCGCCCCGGTGTGCCCGAAAGTCCTCCTACCGCTCCGACCAGAGCCAGTCCAGACGGGGGGCACGAGAGACGGTCCTGGGGAGGAGCCTGGGGAAAATAAACACCCTGCGGGACTTGCGCCAAGCAGCCCCACTGATCTCTACTCTTGAGCGCCGACAAGCAAGAAGACTGAGCCTTCGGGGTTAGTAAGCCCCATGGGCTAGAGGTCAGAGCAGGGCTTGAGCAGCTGAGGTGGGCCTTCCAGACTCTGCAGGCACTGCCCACATTCTCATCCTGTAGCCCAGCCTGGCCCCGCTGAGCTCAGGGCACCTCCCACCCAACCAGTGGGACCCAAGGGCAATGGCCAGAGTGGCAGAGTAGGCCTGGGGAGAGAAAGGCCACCCAGGGCAAGTGGACACAGCCAAGTTCAGGGGGGCTGAGAAGCCACAGAGAACAATGTGGATGCTTAGCTATGCAAGGAAGGGAAAGAACTGGGTGCTCAGAGGGGTGTACCCAGCACCCATTGAACTGGACAGACCATGTCACCCGGCAGCTTCTTGGGGCAAGATCCAAAGTGTGGCCCATTTCAAAGGGGACTTGTTTCTCCTCCTGGCTAAATCTGACCTGGGGGCTTCAGCCAGAGGACTGTTCAGCAGGGTGATGGGAGCTGCCCTTCGCTCAGAACCCTCCCTATGTGCAGCTTGAGCAGGCCCAGATGAAGAGGGAGCAGCTTTCAGCCATTTGGTGATCCAGGAAGGTTGTGGAAGCCGAGACAGGTCAGGCAGGATTGGAAGATCCCCTGGCGCCAGCTTCTTGGGCAGCTTCAAGATCCCCTGCTGATAAACCTGGCAGGGCCCTTGCACTTTGATCACAGGAGCACCCTAGATGGGGGGAGCTCGTCCCTTCCCTATTCCCGGGCTAGTCCCACAAGACACATGGAGCCCAGTGAAGAACCACCATGAATGCCCACAGGAGACGGGAGACAACAAGAGCAATATGGGTGTGTTTGTGCCCAATTTACAGATGAGGAAAACAGGTTCGAAAGAGGAAGAGCAGGGCACACGTTTAGCCCCCAAATATCCCCGCAACTCTGCAGTGTAGCTGTGAACTGCGGCCACACCTTCTTAGCTTCACTTGCTTCATCTTCACATGTCTTCTTGGGGGAGGGGGCGGGCAGCATGTCACGGCGCTACAGACAGTGGTCCGCGTCTCCTCCCAGACCTCCGGCCCCGGCTGCCCTGCTCGAGTGGTCCCCTCACCCAGCAGTGTCCCAAGACCCCCCGCTTCCTCTGGGGCCCCTCATCTGTGCACAGTTCATCCTTTCATGACTTCCCTGTGCAGTTTCTCCCACTAGAATCTGAGCACACGAGGGCAGGACACCTGGCTGACTATCCAGTACCCTCTGGATCCTAGTCCCGGCACAGGGCTGGGCACGTGGCAAGTTCAAGGGAAATACGGCCTCTGTTACACCCGCAGGGCTCTCAATGATGCAAGATCACCAGATCTGGCCCCGCCATCTGCGACTGTAAATAGAGGTTTATTGGAACGCGGCCCCACCCATTCACTCACATGTTGTCTGCAGGGGCTCTTAGGCAACATTAATTATGACGGAGCTAGAAATACTTATTCTGGACTTTTCCAGCAAAAAAGCCTGTTGACCCCTGCCCTATGTCGTCATTGGTATCATTTCTTTATGTACATGCCCCTAAGGGAAAAAACGCCCAGGATGCAGAGACAACAAAGGCACTGTGTCTGCAGGGGAAAAGAAATGGAAATATTTCTCCCACTGTCTTGGGGGGAGGGGGAGGGGGACGGGGGCAGGGCCAGGGGTTGGCACAGGCCGGCCTCAACCCTCTCCGTAAAAACGAAACTTCGGTTCCAGCCAAGGCAACTGCAAGATGTTGGCTATTAAGACACACCTGACTTCAGAGGTGCTAACAGGTGCAAACCAAAAGGATACCGGAAAACCAAAAGAACACAGCAACTGTGGAGGGAGAGGTGGTGTCCTCATAATCACCGCAGGTCAAAAGAATCCCACTCAAGGAACCCCCACCTCCCTGCATGGACAGGGGAGCCTGGAGGGCTTCCCATGCAGGACTGCAGGGACCAGAGAGATGGGAGGAGGCTGGAAACAGCCAGAGGCCCAAAGCCCCCTGCTCAACTGGTCCAGTTTAAAGGGCCACTGTCACGCTGTGCTTTTCATCTGTTAAGAGAACACACGTGTGAAAAGGACAAAACCCAGGCCAGCCGGATGGCCTGATGCCCTGAAGACAGCGGCCACGGAAACAGCTTTGGGGATGGGGGTGGACGCATGGAAAGTCACTCAGCTTTCCTGAGCATAAGAAACACTCCTCCATCAGCCCTGTGTTTGTCCGCTGATCTGCTCAGTCCCGGTCAACACATATGGGCTTTCCTGGGGGCTCAGTGGTAAAGAACCAGCCTGCAATGCAGAAGTCACAGGAGATGCAGGTTTGATCCCTGGGTCAGGAAGATCCCTGGACAGGGAAATGGTGACCCACTCCAATATTCTTGCCTGGGAAATCCCTTGGACAGAGGAGCCTGGCTACAACCCATAGGGTCACAAAGAGTCAGACACGACTGAGCAAGCAGCCTGCATATTACAGTAAACTCGCAACCAGAATGGCCACAAGAAGACACAGATGTGGAGCCCTTGTCCTGAGATGGGACATGGAGCCCACGCCCTGCCACTGGTGGTTCCCAGATGGAAACTAGCCAGCCCTTTGCAACCAGGGGAAAGGGTGGGACAACTGTTGTGTGGAAAGGAAGGGAACCGGGTGGTATGTTTCTTGAAGAGATGGAGTGATTTAGGGTAAAACAAGAAAAAAGGAAAATGACTGTATAAGGTATACTTTTTCTTCCCTTAACACATTTGCTGTAGATTTAAACATATTCTTAAAAACCAGGAAACAATATAAAGAAGATTAAAAAATATTGGCCTTACCCTGCCCACAACTGCTAAGAATGTTTCTTGCTAATATACAGTCACATACAAAAAGACCCTTCCCGACATTGGTCCCCCACCGCCAGTCACTCCATCACCCCAGTGGGTGGAGGCAGGGACTGGTATGTGGACTAGTCCTGCCCGGGAGGGAGAGCCGCCCAGCACTCAGAAGGTCGGGGGACAGAGACACACGTTTCCAAAGTGTCTGCTCTCTGGGCTGTGTTAATGGGAAGAATGGCTGAGAGAGGACGGGAACAGCTGGACTTGGTCCAAGAGGAGTGGCTTGCAGCCACGAGGAGCGGACGGTGACAGGCAGTCCCGGGATTTTAGGCGGACACGTCTGTCTGCTCAGCAGCCCGGCACTGCGTCTGCTGACGGCGGGTTTCCCGTGCAGAGAGAAACGCACCGCGAGTGAGACCAAGCCAGGCCGGGGCGACCCACGTCCTCCGGCTGAGGGGACACCATGCATATTCCAGAGATACTGCCCCTGTCCCAAAGACTCCTGGAACTGACCTTAAGAAGCCTCCAGAACCACTAAAGCAGTCTTTTGAGCAGCCCCGATAACACCAAACCCTTGTCTTAAGTGTCAGTTTTTGCAATAGCCAAGGGTCACCAGGAGCTGGAGAGCGGCTGAAGAAAAGCTGAGGGCCTGGAGCCCCTCGGGCTCCCGGGAGGACACCCTCAGATGGGGCAGCTCCCCACAAATGCCATCACCGTGTGACAGCAAAGGGACCCTCAGGGCCACCGTTCACTGGTCCAGAACATGCTCGCCGATATGGTCCTCACCCCTGAGTCCACTCCTGACCCACCTGGGGCCCCAGAGCCGGCATGTCCTGTGCCCCGAGCGTAACTCCTAACAGAGCTCGAGTCCACCTCAGGCGCTGCAGAGGCAGCAGCTGACTCAGTGTTTCCCAGTTGGAAAAAGGAGACACGATAAAGCAGCCAGCGCTCTGGCCCTCAAAATACCAGGGGCCCCTCCCTTCCTGGCTTCCGTGAAAAGCCCATCACCCAGTTCAGCATGTTCTTGGTAAGCCTCCTTATCATGAGGGGCCCCGGGAAGCGGCCTGGGTGCAGAAAGCTTTCAAGTTCTTCCCGGATTTTATGGTAGCTGAGATGCATGGAGCCCTTCCGGCGGACCTGGTTGGGACAGGGGTTTCCCACTCATGCTCCAAGACCTCTTCACCTACTGGACACAACTCTGCCAACCTTCAGATCACCTCTCCTCCCTCCAGAAACAACCTGGGGTGACCAGGGTCAGTGCCGAAGGACAGGCGGCCGGTGCCGTGTCCCAGCCACGCCCCTGAGCGCAGGCATCCCGGACAGTGTGAGGCCCACTTACCTGACGTGCCCGCGGAGAAGTTCTTCAGCGAGGGCCTCTGGACCACGGTGTAGGACTCGCCAACCACAAACACCTTGTACAGGACAGCGTTGTGGTTGATGAAATTCTGGACCACGCAGGGCGGCTGGATGGCGCTCAGGCCCTCCTGGTTGAACACGATGGCCATCTGGGGAGACAGGGGCCAAGGGCTTGGTCAGAGTCTTACCACCTCCTCAGCCTTATCACTGTCCCGAGCACCACCACCAAGGGCCATCCCTGGCCCGCTGGCATGAGGCTTCCCCAGGAAGAGTCTCAAGCCAGAGTGAGTGGGTGGGCCTCGAGCAGAACACCTGGGTATCCATCCACTCCTGCTGTGGGGGGTTTGGAAATCCTGCACTGTCAGGCCTGCCATGTAGGGTTGAGCTGGTTGCGCACTGCACAATCTCACTACTCACACTGTACCCATGGAACGGGCCCCCCTGGGTGGTGTACTACTCACCCCTTAGGACCTCTTTGTAGAGGTTCCTCTACAAGGACTTTGGCGGTGGGAGGTGGGACACCAAGGGGGTGGGCGCAAGTGGAGGACAAGGGATCAGGAATTGGGAGGCCTTGAGTTCAAAGCCTGTACAATGACAACGGCTGCCTCTTGAGAACTCATGACATGCCTGGCCCTGGTGTGAGCACTTTAGCTGAGTTAGCTGGTGTCATCCTCACACCCTGCCCCAAGGTGGGCACAGACATCATGCCCCTTTTACAGATGAGGAAACTGAGGCCCTGAGGCACTTAGAGGCTGCTGGCAAGTGACAGAGCCCAGAAAGGGATGGGGTCCAACAGCCCCCAGCCCCGCCACATTATACACTTTACACAAGAGTGCTTAAGGAATGGGAACATTCCACTCCTGGGTCCTGACTCCTCTGGGGACAAAGGCCTCCAAAAGGAGGACATGGCAGGGGACAGAAGTCGAGGCAGGAAGCGGGGCGGTGAGGGGGGGGGGGCGACTGGAAAAAACCTCCCCGCGTTGGCTGAGGCTGGGTCTGCCCAGGGCCCACCAGAGCCAGCAGCCAGTGCTGGAGCCATGATGAATGTTCCTTCCAGTCCTCAGGGCCACAGCAAGGAGCCACCAGCTGCCCAGGGCTACTGCCCAGGGAGGGGATAACAGGGCTGGACAGCTGGCTGCCCACACTAGCTGTCGTCTCTCAATGAACCGTCACAGAGCACCATCCCAACATATCTGGTGCCCAGCTGGGTGAGGCAGAGGTAGAGACCCTGGCCACATGGGGAAACAAAATGTGCATGTGTGTGTATACCACAGTGAAACAAATGTGTATGTATATACCATAGTGAAACAAGTGTGTGTGTGTGTGCATATGTGTGTGTGTGTGTGTGTGCGCGCGCACATGCACACCACAGTGAATAGCTCCTTAACCTGCCGATTAAAGTAAGAGAGCCAGACATGAGTTCAAGTCCCACCCCTGGCACTTGCTGCATAAGCCCTGTTTAAACTCCATTTTCATCAGCTATAAAATAGCATCAGCATCATGGGGTAGCTTTGGGGGGTCCTCTGTGCTTTTGGCTCAATTTTTTTTTTAAGGAGGGGTGGTATTTCACTGTGGAACAAACTCAAGTGCTTACACCAAAACAAGAAATCAAATCATAAACATAAAATAAAAACAAACAAGTCCTGATTTTGGGTGACTGAGCTAGGGACTGAGGAATCAGAAGCAAGGCTCAGCAGGCTGGGGTCCGGGTGAGGACCCCAATCGGAAAGCCCCCTTTCCTGCATAAAGCTAACCACGTGCACAGTGGTGTCCTCAGTCCTCACTGGACTCAACATCCCCGGGCACCCCTGAGGTGGGATGGAGCCTGGCCCCCCTGGGCTCATGCCATGGAGGGCACCCCACCAGAGGAGGCACTCCTCTGATGCTATCAGCCTCCCAGAAGGCAGGTGGCCTGGAGCACAGAAGCCCCCCCTGGGAACCTGCAACACTCCAGACCCCAATCTTGGAGCTCTGTTCTTGACGCCCACCAGAGGAACCCCTCCCAGAAACAGCACACAGTGGGTTGGGGAGCCCCAGGGATGAGGAAAGGGAAGAGGGGCCATGGCACACATGTGTACATCTACGAGCCAAAGTCCAGAGAGCTGGACTGAGGGGTGAAACGCCTTAAGTCAAGCTGACCCCATGAAGTCAAGACTCTCCCGGAGGAAGCAGGTCACCTCAACCCAGAACCCTTGCGCCTTCTGCAATGACCCAGCAGGCTGCAGGGCAACTGGCTACACCTCTTTAGTCGCTTCGGTCATGTGTGACTCTTGGACTGTAGCCTGCCAGGCTCCTCTGTCCATGGGATTTTTCAGGCAAGAGTGCTAGAGTGGGCTGCCATTTCCTCCTCCAGGAGATCTTCCCTAAGCAGGGATGGAATTTGTGTCTCTTGCATGGCAGGCAGATTCTTTACACCTGGGAAGCCACTACAACATATCAAATGTTCCCTGGCCCAGAGCCCACGGCAGCACAGCAGTATGGGCAACTCCCCGACCCTCCACATCAGCCGTCATATCGCCAGTGACAGGTGTAGGACAGAAACTCAGAGAGGCTGGGTCACCTGCCCAAAGTCACACAGCGGGCAGTGCACACAGCCAGATCTGGTCCCAGGTGGGAGTGACTCTAAAGCTGTTGTGTCCACAGCAGAAGCAGCTCCCTCCCAGCAGGCTGACCTGCTCTGCGTTTGAATGGTCTACTCACACTCCTGACTGCAGTCGCCCTTCTGTCCTGAAAAACCCCAAGGCGCTGACCGGCAGAGGAACTGTTCAGTGGTGTAATGGGTCAGGTGGAAGGTTGGGGGTCCAGTGCTGGTGAGGGGACTGTGACTTCCAGGGCCATGGTCTGGCCGCTCTAAAGCCTTCCTGTCCCCCGGCCCCCGGGTCTGGCCCAGGAGCACATCCCAGGCATGGAGCCCAGGCAGACCCAGACGGGGAGGCTCCATGAGGGCTCCAGACCTCAGGAGGCAGCTGAGCTCTGCTGCAGGCCGGGATTTCCTGCCTCCACCTTCCTGCCCACAAGCAATGGGACCCCCTCAGCTTCATCACAGCATATACCACACCACGCGGACACATCATCTGTTTAGAGACATTTCCCCATAGACACGCGCCAGGGACAAAGACACTACCTAAATCTACAGGGCTGCTGGGCTTGTCCACGTTTAGTCATGAGGTCGTGGGGGAGCACTTCTGATGGTGAGGCTGCCCAGGACAGGCTTGCCCACAGGGCTTTCCCGGAGGGTCAAACCTCTACCAGCCAGGGTGTCCTCCCACGCAGTTCATGAGGGGGTCCCTAGGCTGGGCTGTGCCCCTGGAGGCAACGTCCCAGACGTGATTCCCCAAGATGGTGACAGACCCAGCCGAGCCCCTGCCTGGCCACTGGCTCCTCTTGCCCCCAGAAGGCCTCTTCCGCCGGCCTCCCACAACACGCCTGCTGGCGCTCTCTGCCTCCAGGACCCCGTCTTCCCCACCGGGGCAGCACTCTCATCTCAGGCATCCTTCCCTCAACACCCAAGGTGAATGGCCACTGGCTGAGTACAAGAATGAACGTGAGGGTGGGGGGATCACGCACACAGCAGGTCGGGTGCCCCTGCCTCCTCCCACCCCCTTCCCCGATTCAGCAGGACCTGCAGACCTGTGGGCAGTGACGGGATCTTTGCAGGGGGCGGCCAGGCCTGTGCCCGGCCCAGAGCAGGAAGTGACCGACACTGACGGGCCAGAGGAAGGTCAGATGGTGGTGTGGCTCGCATGGGCTCAAAGGGGGCAGGTACGCCCATCCCAGCCTTGGGGAGAGGAGAGGCCCAAGGTACAGCTGGAGACGGGGTACCGAGCCACCAGCAGGTGTGGTGGGACCCAGCAGCAGGGCTGTCAAGCTCCCAGAGAGACACTGTGAGCTGAAAGGATGGGGGTTGAGGCGGGGAGGCAGGGGCAGGGAAGCGGGGGGGCGGGTGCTGGAGGGGGACGGGGCTATCAAGTCGTCAACTCCTCCACTCACCTCGTGAGAGTTGGTGCCATGAGCCACTCTGGTTTTGCAAACTGTGGGTGGGGGAGAAAAAAACAGGAGTTAGCAAGGTTACTCACCTACAAAGCCCAGCCTGGCAGATATGGAGAGAAACTCTCAAAACCTCCTGCGGCCCCTGGGCTGGGGAGGGGGGTCATGGGGAGCTGGGGAGATAGGCTGACTCCACCAGGGCCAGCATCTGCCCTCAGGGGCACTAGATGGTCACCATCAGGCTAGGCCCTTACCACCCAGGGACCCAGGGACCGGGGCTGTGCCCTCCCTGGGTGGCCGAGGCCTCCCTCCACCCCCAGGAGTTCGGGTGCTCACTGAACGGAAAGGCCAGGCCGTTCTCCTCCAGGAGTCGCATAGTGTCATCCCCGCACAGGCTTGTGAGCTCCATGAAGGGCGGAGAGCAGATCCTGTCATCTGGGGATGGAGGAGAAGCCCGTGTCAGCACTGCCTGCTCCACGGGGCCCCTCAGCACCCCTGCCTGCCCCATCCAGCAGCCCACACCCTGAAGTCACCCGTGGGCGTGCAGACACACATGCTCACACGTGCCCCGGGAACGAGGTCACAGTTATTAACTACTGTCAATAGCATCCCGTAATGACGGGCCCAACACGTGATAACGGCAAAGCCTGAAGATCAAAGAAAAGTGAAAACCAGACCCAGGCAGGTGCTGACTCGATCCCACCTCCTCAGCCCACACTTGGGCTTGTGACGTGCACACACACACAGTGCTTGACATCAGGATGCTGTTTGGTGACTCAAATTTGCACTCAGTCAACTATGAACACTTTCTGTGGGCAGTGACAACGCCCCTCCATACACGGTACTGGCTTAGTGATCATCGGAGGATGATGCCAGCCCTTCAGCTTAGCCTGAGGCCCACACTGCTGAAGGCTTTGCATACATCACATCTGAAGTCTGCAAATAATCCTCTGGGGGCGGGGTGGCGGGGCGTGGAGGAGACGCTGAGGAGGGGTAGGGATTAAAGAGGGGCTTGCTGTCACACAGGGACCCCTCTCCTGGAGCCTCTCATGCCTAACAGAGGGGCTTCTGCCACTGCCGTCACGTGGATGGGCCACAGTCAGGCACGCACTCCCAACCTCCTCTGGCTGCCAGACCCCAGCCCCGCCCAGCCCCCACCCAGCCCCTCGGCTTTGCTAAGTCCTCAGTTGCAGGGGGCTGCCCGCCTTCTCTGCACACCCAAAAAGTGGGTTCCTGGCGTATTCAGTTTTCTGAAAAGCTCTGGAAGCTGGGTGTGCTGTTTGTCAGGACGATCCTGGAGCCAGGCATCAAGTGAAGGCAGAAAAAATCATTCGTAGGGAAACCAAGTGCATTCTGAATCTCTCTGCGGATTGCTGAATTGCACCACTGGCTTGTTATTACTACTTTGTCTACCTCCATCCCCAGTCAGGGCATTGGCTCCTCAGGAGGTAAGACCACCCTGTATTTCTGGGCACAGGGGCCGGGAAAGGCTGAGCGTTAGTGGGATGGGGATGACTCCCCCGCACACACACCCACAAACTTGGAAACCAAACCAAAAGCAAACAATAAAGCAGCTTGTCTCCAACAGCTTCTAGCTACTTGGCTGGCTAGGAGGTCAGTACATTAAAACATTAAAACCAAGGTAAGATCCAGCTTCACATATCTCATAAAAAGCAAGTGCCAAGAATTACACAGGGTATATTAAAAGTGCTTTCATTTCCCTCCTCACCCCCCACCAGCAAAGTCCAAAGTCCAAACAGGCTCAGAGTGAAGGCAGATGCTGGGGTGGGCAGAGTTTCTCGGGGACCCAGGGAGGGAGGAGCCCTGGTGGGCGGCAAGGCAGGCCCTCTGCTTGGAGCATTCATATTCCTCACAGACAGAGGCTGAAACAGAGGCAGTCCTTGCCCAAGGTCACTGAACAGTCACATCCAGGGGAGGACAAGGAGCCGGGCTCACATGGCAGGTCAGGAAGAGAGAAACCAGGAAAATCAGAGCACCAAGGGAGGGAGCAGGTGGAGTGTCCTGGCTCTCAGCTGTAAGCCATTATCTAAATGGGGCCCCATTTCTGCACCCCCTGCCCAGAGTCAGAGCTAGGGTGGAAACAATGGTGAGGGGCTGGCAGGCCATGGAGGGAGGAGGTGGTCTGTGCAAAGACTTCCTGCGGTAGCCCCTCCAGCCAGGCCCTAACGGGGTGTGAGACTCAAGGCCAAACAAACTAAAGGGTGTGGCAGCAGGCGGGCTTGCTGCAGCACCCACCTGGTCTGGCAGGGGACCCATCCTGGCCCCAGCCCTCCCATGGGAAGACTCAGAGATCCCTGGAGGCAAACAGACGGCCTCCTGTTAAGAGCTTGCAGATTTTTTGGAGCAGGTGAATAATCTGCCTGGCTTTTATCATTTGTTGTTCAGTCACTAAGTCATGTATGACTCTTTGCAACCCCATGGACTGCAGCACACCAGGCTTCCCTATCCTTCACCATTTCCCAGAGTTTGCTCAAATTCATGTCCATTGAGTCAGGGATGCCATCTAACAATCTCATCCTTTCTCGCTCCCTTCTCCTCTTGCTCTCAATCTTTCCCAGCATCAGGATCTTTTCCAATGAATCAGCTCTTCACATCAGGTGGCCAAAGTATTGGAGCTTCAGCTTCAGCTTCAGCATCAGTCCTTCCAATGAACAGTCGGGGTTGACTTCCTTTAGGGTGGACTGGTTGGATCTCCTTACTGTCTAAGGGACTCTCAAGTCTTCTCCAGCACCACAGTTCAAAAGCATCAATTCTTCAGTGCTCAGCCTTCTTTATAGTCCAACTCTCACATCCATACATGACTACTGGAAAAACCATAGCTTTGACTATATGAACCTTTGTCGGCAAAGTGATGTCTCTGCTTTTTAGTACACTGTCGAGACTTTTACTATAGATTCGCCTTCAATGCCCTTCCCACCCCAGGCCATCAAAGCTTTCCACCTAATGTCACGGCTAACGGCCAACAGTCAATAAACCCCACTTGTTTACATGCCAGACACTGTTCCACATAGTATGCAAAACAATCATTTACCCTCACGAGGGCCCCATAAGGTGGTGCTGTCACCCCCATTTTACAGATATGGGAAATGACGCACAGAGGGGGAAGTTCCCTGTCCAGGGTCACACGGTGAGTAAGAGGTGCGGCTGGGGGGCTCATCCCCAGGCAGCTGGATCCAAGTTCAGGCTACTGACCACAGCCTCCCTAGCAGAAAAGTGCCTGCACCTATTAACAGAATAAAAGGACTAAACTCACACAGTCCTATCAATAGATATAGCAAAAGCATTTCAGCTAAAACAATAAAACTCTTGGAAGAACACACAGACCTTGGATTAGACATGGTTTCTTAGACAGCAGAAGCACAAGCAATCGAAGTAAAAATGGACATATCTGACATTGTCAAAATTTAAAACCTCTGTGTTTTGAAGGACATTATCAAGAAAAGACAACCCAAAGAATGGGGGGGGGGGGGAATATTTGCAAATCATATATCTGGTAAGAGTCTAGTATCCAAAATACATGAAAAACTATTAACAACCAAACAATACACAAGACCAGTAACCCAAGTTAAAAACGGGCAAAGGGCCCAAAATGGACAGTTCTCAAAATAAGACATACAAATGGCCAGTAAACACAGGGAGGCGTGCTCAACGTCATGAAGCATCAGAGAAACGAAGATTAAAACCACACGTGTGAGGCTGGCTACAACCAAATCAGACAGACAATAACGAGTGTCCTGACACTTGCTGGTGGGCACGTGAGATGGTCCAGCTGCTCTGAGACGCTCTGGCAGTTCTTCACACAGTTAAACACAGCTCCAGCGTGACCCAGCGGTCCACACCTAGGTGTTTCCACGAGGACGGAAACACACGTCCACACAAAAGCCTGTCCAGGAATATTCACAGCAGTGTTATTCATAACAGACAGAAAGTGGCAGCAACCCAAATGTCCGTCAACTGATGAGCCGGTAAACAAGAGGTGATGTAGCCACACAATGGAATATTATTCGGGCATAAAAAGGAATGAAGTTCGCATGCATGCTACAACATAGATGAACCTTGAAAACATCATGCTGAGTTGAAGGAAGCCAGTTAGCAAAACCACAGAATATATGACTTCATTTATCTGAAATGTTCAGAACAGGCAGCTCCATTGAGATGGAAAGGAGACGGGTGGTTGCCAAGTCCTGGGGGTCAGGTGGAATGGGGAGTGACTGCAGGCGGGTCCATTTCTTTTTGGGGTGATGAAAATGTTCTGGGATTAGATAGTTGTGATGGTTGCACAACTTTCTGAATATATTCAAAACTACTGAACTGTATCTACACTTTAAGAAGGTGGATTTTATGGTACGTGAATTATATCAATTCAAAAAAAAAAAAAAAGGAAAAAACCCCAGCAGCAGCAGTTGAGATTCATCAAGCACAAGCACTTGACCTGTGCAGGAAGCTGGGCTAAAGAAATGCATCAGGTACAGCGTCTCCTTCAGCTCTCCAGCAAACCTGCAGAGTCCCGTCCCCCACCACCACCCCTGCAGAGTCTCAGGTGAATCAGAGAAGGACGAGGGCAGTGTTCCCCCAGAGGTGTTTGGGGTCCCGGTGAAATGCAGAGACGAGACATTCTTAATGAGTGGGCCACAGCGAGCATTAGACCAGACACCCCCACCTTTCTGGAGTCTCGGGCTCTGGTGTCAGAGGTGGTACCCTGGGTGGTAGCAGGACCCAGCAGAGATGTCAAAGGACCGAGTGCATCAAGAAAGAGGGGCCACGCGCAGGGTCGCATTCTTCTTCCTTTATCCTAACTTAAAGCTGGCTGACCACAGCCTGAGCAGCAGGCATGACCAGCTGCCGACCCTGCACCCTCTCCAGGGTGGGCCCAGGACTGGAGACCATCCAGGTCACGCTGCCTGAAAGGCCCACAGTTCAAGCTCGGTCACCCCCCCAATGGGCCAGGCTTGAGGGAAGGCAGTCCTGAGCCCCACAGGGCAGAGGTTGGAAGGGACCCATGTCCCTCGCTGGGCTGCCGGCTGCTCCACACCCGGGGCTTATCCCAACTCTAGACTCACGGACCGTAGACCATGATGACTGTAGCTTGACCCAATTTCTGGCAGCTTGTAGCTAAAACCATCCTGCAACGCCTGGGAGATCGCAGTAAATTAGAAACTACTACTGTTCCTATTTTGGTTTTTCAACCACCAGTCACCAACGACAACAACAAAAAAATGTGTCGCATCCTAGGAGCCCAAGATCCAGCAGTGAAGGAACACGAGCCATGCTGCCTCGAGGAGCCCACACTCCAGGTGCGGGGACCAGGCCGCAGCCAGGCGGAGGAGCAAAACGGACAGCCCGACTGGGGTGGCGGGTGACCTGGGGCTCGCGAGGGGGTGCCAGTGGAGGTGGGGTGCGCCCAGGAAGTGCCT